ACCCCCTGGGAGGTTAACAACTACTAGAGTAAAACAGGCCCCCCTATTATCTATTAGGCAAAACTAGAAATGGGAGATTTTCCTTCTCCTCACATCTGGTGTCAGTACACACTTCAAGGTGTCTCACTCACTAGCCTGCCTGTCCAAGATCAGTCTACATGCCCCTCCCACCCATTCAGGGCCACACCGTTCTGAAGAGTATAGATCTAGGGTTGAGGCTCGTGTGAGCCTGGGTAGTGGACCATTTGGACCAGGAGGTCAGAGGTTAAGTATGGTCTAGAATTGGGAGGTACAAGTGGGTACTTCCTAGATACCCTTGGACTTCTCAGCCCAAGGGGAGGGACATAACTAGAGGTCAGAGTGGCGCCCTCTGTCTGGATTTGAGGCAGTTTGGATATTCAACACTGGTGTGGAAAGTAGTCCCTGTGAGAAACTTGAAGGTCTTAGAAGAGTTAGCCCCAAGTTAAGGCTAAAGAAGAAAGCTGTCTATTGTGAAGATGCAGTGGAACCTAAATTGTTTTTATTTCTAGTCTTGTTCTTTTGCCACTTAATCTACAAAAAGTGTGCTATAATAGGGTCTCTATGACTTAGATTCAGCTCACCTGCCTATTACTATATCCAGATCTTGGGTTACGTAGAACATAGATTTAAGGGAAGAAAGAAACACATTCACTCTGTGGCATCTCTTCTCTGGTGTGTCTTGGATGTACTTAACTAAAGAATGAACACTTCCGAGTTTCCTGTAAGGTTTGGGTAATTGGTTTTAAGCTGCATAAAATGTGGGGAGTTTAATATGCAGAAAGCGATGTGTCTCTGGGAAGAGTGGAAAGTTCATAGAACTTTCCTAAATTGAATCTTGTTTAACCTGACTTTGGAGGTACTCAATATTTAATAGATGAGACAGAGAGAGTGTTTTTCATTAAACAAATAAGCATCGCTCTAATTGACATATTCTGATGGTTTAGCCTTTTTTTTTATTTGGTTGCACCATGTCTTAGTTGCATCACACAGGATCTTTTGCTTTTCCTTGTGGCATGCAGGATCTCTAGTTGCATAATGCGAACTCTTATTTGTAGTTTGTGGGATCTAGATCCCTGACCAGGGATCGAACCCAGCCCCTCTGCGTTGGGAGCACAGAGTCTTAGCTACTGAGCTCCCAGGGAAGTCCCATGATGGTTTAAGTTTTAATTATAATATTTAGAGAGAATCTGTACTTATATTACTATTTTGACATTTTTTACATCAAGCTGAGTTGTGCTTGAAAGGGCTTATGGTCAAGTATATCAGTAAGAATAAAAGATAACAAATTTCAAACTTTATTTAGCAGTATAAGTATTATAAAGGACTGAGAGGCAAAAATCATACCTCCTTTTCCCATATACTTCTCTTCCAACTATATCCTATGTAAACTCTCCTACCTACTCCACTCTATCCCAAGATGCAGGCTTGTGTCCGCAAAACCTGTGGTTTCCTGGCTCCACCCCAGAGAGACAACTGCAGGAGATTCCTATTGAGTCAGCCTGGCAAGTGGAGGGTGGGCAAGGTTTCTGAGACTAGGAGGGAAAGAAGAGAAACACAACATTCCCTCGTGGTCCAATGATAAAGAGACTGCGCTTCCAGTGCAGGTGGCAAGGCTTCGATCCCTTGTTGGGGAAGTCCCTCATGTCTTGTGGCCAAAAAAAAAAAAAGAAACAGTCAGCAGTGTGCTCACCCTTCCAAGTCAGAGTGGTACTTCTTCTGCTGTCTGCTCAGTGAAAGATGGTTTGGACTGTGCAGCCAAGAATGTAGGCAGGAAGAAGGGTGAGGTGTAGAGGGCTCAAAAGACACCTTCAAGGAGGCAGTCTCTAAAGGGATATCCTTAGGTGAGGGTAGACACCAAGTGGGAGGGAAAGATGGGGTTTCCCAACCTTGGGGGCTTTAGTTCACTGAACGGGGAGTCCCCTCACCCCTTACCCTCCCTGTTAGGTTTCCTGAAAGCCCGTTGGCACTCCCTGTCAACTGCATTTGGATAAGAAAATGTTACTCTTTGAGCACAGCCTCCAACTCTTTTGAACATCAATGGGCAAACCACCAGTGGCAGAGCTGAGTCATGGGCACATGCTGTAGGCCTGGGAAGTGAGGGGGACCCTACTCCACTGGGTGATGACGTTATCTTCCAGACCCCTATACCTACAGTTGGGGTTCCTCCTTTGTGGCTTCCCCCACTTATTCCACATCCTCAGAGTGTGTATTTCTGTGTGGGAGGAAGGATGTCTTCCCTCCATGTACATACACGTCAAGGATTAGTGTTTTTCTGTGTCCAAGTCAAGGGTCTTTTATATGGGTATTTCATGGGTCCCTGGGTGTGGTGGTGTGAGGAGTTAGAAAGCTTAGAAATGGAAAATATTTAACGACCAGAGTAGCAAATGAATACAACTTCCCCATTTGCATTTTCCCTTTCACTCTGACTCATCTTCCCCTCTCCCCACACTATTATTGCCCCTCCACTGGCCCCACCCATTGGCACACCCTGTCTGATCTAGGAAGGGATAACATCTGCTTGCACCCAAGCTAGAATGAGAGGTAGAATGAAGACATGTTAGGTCTCCACAGAGAGTAGAAGGATGGTCTGAACATTTGGGGGTCCTGAAGCCAAAAGGTGAAACAGGAGTTTTAGAGACATAAAATTTGATTCTAGGAGGGAATCAGAATCTAGAGAGAAGCCTTGGGGAAAGCAGACTGGGTCTTGTCATCAGACCAGCCTACCAGTGCCTGACTTGTTATTCTTCTAGTTGTTTATTAGGCATATATGTCAGGCACATATCATAAGCTATCTAGCAATACCTGTTCTATGCATGAAAAATCTGCAAGAAATAATAAGAAACATAAAAAGAAATGTGAGTCTCTCAGACCTCATCTTTTCCCCAGGTTAAGGAGTGCTAAAGTGTGAAAAGAGGGCAAATCTCCGAGGACCTTCAACCCCTGGGCAGAAAGTCAAAGAAACCCCGAAGTCCTGATTTCAGAGAAATGTCATTTGTCATCAGCCCAAGAAAAGGAGTTTTTCTCTTCGAAGACCACCGCAAGTCCTTCCTGGGGTTGCCCCCTTCAGAGCGTGATGGGAGGATCTGAGTCACTCACATACCCTGTCCCCAGTGATGGCCCAGATGACCTGGGTCATTCCCACAGAGGAGTGGAGGCTTCCCAGTACCAAGTCAGAGAGAGGGAGGAGGAGGCATGCTTTTGGCCCTCTTTCGCTCTCTTCTTAGAATCCAGATGTTTCAGTCCTTTTTACTTTTGAGGGTAGTATAAAGAGCTCCCAGCTGCTAGAGCTCTATTGACACCTCTGAGAAACAGAACTAATACTATTTGAATGATGCTATGTACCGAGAAACCACTTTCACATACATCATGTCATTTCATCTTCACCCCACCTCATAATGAGGTAGGCAGAGCTTATCCCTATTTCATGGATGAGGTAACTGAGGCTCAGAGAGGTGACTTGCCCAAGGTGACTCAACTAGTATGTGGGAGAGATGAGAGGCAAATGCAGGTCTGATTATCCCAAAGTTCTTATTGCTTCAGATATACTTCTTTGACTTCAGAAATTCATAAATGAAATAAGAAGACCGGAGGTCAGGAGGCAGAACGCTTGGGTTCTGGAAGGAGAGGAGTGGTCTTTCCTGGAGGGGTGAAGCACAGCCAGGGGTAGAAGACCACACCCCTTGGGGGACTGTGGCAGACTGATACTTGGGACACCCAATGGAAGACTGTGAGGTCAGGGGCGGGGCTAGCTCCAGAGTAGGGGGGCCAAGAGCCCCAACAGCATTTCAGAGCATGCGGTGTCCAGGAGGAAGCTACAACCGGTGAGTGGTTGCTTCTCCCCAACTGAGACTTTCCTCCCATTACACTCCTCTTTCTGTCCACTTCCTGCCAGCCTGTAGCCCTCCCTGTGAGGTGTCCAAGTAGTAATTCCTCCCTCCTACGGGGTCTGTACTCAGGGTGAGCCCACACTTAGGAATATGCCTGCTGGGCTCTGGGACACTTAGGTCTGTCTCTTTGTATCTGGGTTCCCAGTTCTCTTCTTAAAAGCCAATGTGGTGGTTTTGATGTGTGACAAACATCTGTCTTGTTGGGTTCTGTCTTTCTAATCTTCATTTTAGCTTATGAAAAACAAAATTGAACTGTCTCCTTATCCTTGAGAGGAAATAGCCTTTCCCTCCATAGTTTCTATTTCCTTTTCGCCTGCTTCCTCCAGGGTCAAAGCCTTCTCCGACATCTCTCCATCCTTGGGTGAGGAGCCTTCTCTCCTGTGGGTTCCAACCTGCTCTCTTTATCTCACTGCTTGGGAGCTTTTGGTCACTTCCAGTTCCTTCTCTGAGGATGGTTTCTACAAGTTTCATCCTGAGGGGGATGATCAGTTGATGCCTTGAGCCTGCTTTCTGCAGCTACGACCCCATCTTGCTGCCCTTTTTTCCTCTCAGGACCCTCAGCTCCACATGATAGGCTTGCAGGAGAAGGACACACTAGCTTTCTAAACTCCCATGAAGCTGTGTCTGGCTCCATCCCTAACTTACAGGGCTGAGTTTTGTGGTGATCCTGTCTGGAATGAAAGCCGGGGCCTACTCAGGGGTCTTTCCCTGCAGAGGAGCTTGGAGTAGCAGAAATATCAGGGTCTGCTCTTCCTTAAGTCAGACATTGCCAACTGGCAGGACCCATCTATCTACTACTTGAGATAGCTCTTCAATGTCCGGTCCTTGCTCTTTAAGTCCTGAATTTGGTTTAATTTCCATTCTCTCACCACCTCCACCCCTGCTATGATTCTGAACAACCTCAGGTTTTCTCTTGGGTCAGTTTATCTGCTCCATTCAGAACAGAGAGCTGATTCAAAGCCAGCAACTCACTCTTTCTTCCCTCACCTCCACAGGCTTGAGTATGCGGTTCCTCCCTCCCCTTTTCATCATGGACCCTACACTGTGGCCTTTCTCTCAGAACCTCTGAGGTTGTTACCCAGGCAAGGCACAATGCCCCTGTCCCCAACAAGACTGCCTAGTCCCTATGCTTCTGATCGGCTGGTACGGCTAGCAGCCAGGCTCCGGCCGGCACTATGTGATACCCTGATCACAGTGGGGAGCCAGGAGTTCCCTGCCCACAGCCTGGTGCTGGCAGGTGTGAGCCAGCAACTGGGTCGCAGGGGCCGCTGGGCTGTGGTGAAAGGCATCAGCCCTTCCACCTTTGCCCAACTTCTGCACTTTGTTTATGGGGAGAGTCTAGAGCTGCATCCTGGGGAACTGGGGCCCCTTGAGGAGGCAGCCAGAGCACTGGGGGTACAGTCCCTGGAAGAGGCATGCATTAGGGCTCGAAGGGACATGGCCAGAGAAGAGCTGGGTCCAGGACTGAAGAAACAACAGGAGGAGCTAGAGAAACCCACAGGGGACTCGATGAGAAGCGTGGGGGACTTTGGGGAGAAGCAGAGACCAGAGAAGTTTGTTAGGGCTGGTGGGAAAGAGCAGGAGACGTTGCACAGGCACAGGCCATCAAGAGAGAGCCCTGAGATAGCAGAGGCAACTCTGGAGGTTCAAGGGGAGCAGATGAGACCAAAGGAGAAACTCCACCAAGCCCTTGTTGGCCATGGCAGAGTAGGTGGGAAGCAAGAAGTAATCATGTGGTTGAGGGACAGTGCAGGGGGCTCTGAGGAAAGTCTGCCGGAGTTCCCTGGCCCCCTTCCCCCAGCAGGTTCCTTCCAAACTGGCATCACCCCCAGGCCTTGGTGGGCTGAGGCCCCTTGGCTGGGGGAGGGCCAGCCTGCCCTGTGGAGCATCCTTCTGTTGCCGCCTAGATATGGCACTCCCTTCTCCCATAGCATCCCTATGACTGGAGCCTGGCAAGAGGTCTGGCCTCGGGACCAGAGGTGAGTTGAAGGGCTTATGGAAGACTTCTGGCTGGGAGGGAGTGGCTCAGGAGAGGCAGCAGCGATGGGTGGAAGGGTACCATATCTCTTATCTCTACTATACATTTCCTGAGTTGAGGTAGGACAAGAAGATGTCACCACAGGCAAGCCAAAGCCCAGTCCCCACAGAGGACTTACGACTCCTCCCTCCCCAGAAAGGGATCCATAGGATCCCAGGTGTAACCAAGGCTGTTAACTCTTCCCCATCCCACCCCCAGGATTCCACTGTCCCTGAACCTCCACAAAGGCCTTTGGAGCCAGAACCAGCTGGCCTCCTCCAGCCCCACCCCAGGTAAGCCCCTCACTGCCTGGCATGCACCTTGTAACATGGTCTCTCGGCTGGGACTTGGCTGGGACTCCGGGAGTCCGGTCTGAGCAGCGCGCCTGCTTCACTCTGTTCCCTCCAGGTTCCCTCCCCCAGGGCCCCACACAGCTTAGCCCTGGGGAGACAGAAGAGTCTGATCAGAGGCACACAGGTGAGTAGGTGCTTTTGCCTCAGCGCCACTATGGCCCCAGCCTGAGTGTTCCAGTGACCCAGTTCTGGGAATCCCAGCCCTGCCCTCCTTTGCCTTTTGTTCCCACAGGTGAACTAGCAAACTGTGTGGGTCATGTCGGCACCGCAAGCCATCCATCTCACCAACACCCTCCCCCACCCACTCCTGCTCGGTCTCGGCCCTATTCTTGTTCTGTCTGTGGGAAGAGGTTTTCACTCAAACATCAGATGGAGACGCACTACCGTGTCCACACAGGTATGGGTGCCCTGCCCTGTGCAAACTGCTTCTTTCCAAACTCCAGTGGGCCCGCTCCTAAGTCCCTTTGTGAGTGCCATGCTCCCGAGCAACAACCTTGCCCAGCTGCCCCTACCTACCCCTAGGCGAGCCTTCACTCCCTACTTTCCTTCATGAGCCTTCCCCTCCACCTGCCCTAGGAGAGAAGCCCTTTTCCTGTAGCCTCTGTCCCCAGCGCTCCCGGGACTTCTCAGCCATGACCAAGCACCTGCGGACGCACGGGGCCGCACCCTACCGCTGCCCTCTGTGCCAGGCCGGCTGCCCCAGCCTGGCCTCCATGCAGGCGCACATGCGCGGCCACTCGCCCGGTCAGCTCCCGCCGGGATGGACCATTCGCTCCACCTTCCTCTACTCCTCCTCCTCGAGGCCCTCTAGGACCTCGACCTCTCCCAGTAGGCCCTCTTCCTCCACCACCTGACGGGGCGTCAGTAACTTCTTTGGCTTCAGCCAAGCTTACAATTAAAAAGTGAAAGACCGGCCAGTGAGCAGGCTAGGCTTCTGATTCCGCACCGCGGCTGCGGCAGCCTAGCAAACTCGGCTCCAAAAAGCGCCACGGGAAGGGCGCCAGAAGCCCTCTCCCAGACGGCCTCGGGCCGCGGACCTGGGCCAGAGAGCCCCTGTGGGGGTGAGGGCAGTGAAGTTTGCACGAGTGACGGTTAACTGTGCGGGGACTGGCGATTCATCACCAAAATAAAGAGTTTCCTGTGCTCTCCTCTCGGGACCAGAAAGTCGAGTCCAGATTTTCGTCTGCGCGCGGGGGGCCGCCTTGCCCTTAGTCCTGTAGCGGCCCCTGGTGGTTCAACGTGGCGGCCACCTCCTCCGTCTCCCTGGGCTTCTGATCCTCCCCTCGAGGCAGCGGGCCGCGAGGACAGGGTGGTGTCCAGACCGACTTCGCAGCAAGCCCTGTGTGGAAAGGCTGTGAGAACCCAAGTTACTGGTCCCTTCCGCAGCAAGCAACTGCGCGCCAAGTTTGAGTCTAGGTCGTCTAGCCCGGGGCTCGAAAGGAACTCATGCTATGGTCGGCTTTCAACCACCCGACTCCTTCCCGGAGCACAAGAGCCAAAAGGCCGCAGCCCCTCCAGAATCTCCCCTCCAGGCCGTAAGGAGCGGCTGCCGGGTCAAACTCCAAACTGAGGCGGCCGCCCCTTACCCAGCCCACGCCTCCTGCAGTCGCGAACTTCATCTCCCAGTGTCCCTGAGGGTCCCAGGGTCCAAGGCCCGCTGCACTCTGGAAGTGGTAGTTCGCGCGGGCCGCTAGTCTCGACAGGAACAATGGGAGGAGTCTGGGGCGGGAACCACATCTCCCGGCAGCCCGGGAGATGGCTTTCTGGGCCGGGTCAGGCTCCCATAGTCCCAGTTCTCGCGGCCCTAGCTCGCGACGGAAGGAGCGAGGAGCTCGAACTACATTTCCCGGTGGCCCTTGCGACTCGCCCTCTCCCGCCGCGACGCGGGGTCTAGGTTCTTTAGGTGCGGTCTAAGGGTGACCAGCCGGCCGGCCTCGGACTCCCGCTCCCGTGGTGCCCCGCGCGGCCGGCCCAGCCCCCGGCTCGTGTCGGCCCCGCGGCGGCGCTGGTTGTTGTCGTGAGCCTAAGCCGCCCCGCCCCTCCTCTGCTCCCCTCCCCCCGGCCCTGCGTACGGGCCGCCCCTCCCCCCGCCTCCCCGGCCCCTCTCACGGTGCCAAGATGGCGGCGGCGGCGGGCGGCGGCGGTTGCCCCGGGCCTGGCTCCGCGCGGGGCCGCTTCCCGGGCCGGCCGCGGGGCTCCGGCGGGGGCGGGGGCCGCGGCGGACGGGGCAACGGGGCCGAAAGAGTGCGGGTAGCTCTGCGGCGCGGCAGCGGCGCGGCGGGGCCGGGCGGAGCCGAGCCCGGGGAGGACACGGCCCTGCTCCGTTTGCTGGGACTCCACCGGGGCCTGCGCCGGCTCCGCCGCCTGTGGGCCGGCCCGCGCATTCAGCGGGGCCGGGGCCGGGGTCGGGGCCGGGGCTGGGGCCCGAGCCGGGGCTGCCTGCTGGAGGAGGAGAGCAGTGACGGGGAGTCCGACGATGAGGTGAGGCAGTCGGAGGCGTCCCCAGCGCCGGGCGGGGCGGAGGCAGGGGGCTTCCATGGGTCTGGGTGGCCCCGAGAAGTGGCGTGGGGAAGCGGAGTCCTTAGTGCTCTTGGGGAAGGAAAGGGCCCTGGAAATAGGCAGGGGAGGAGGTAGGCTGTGCGGAGCTGTCGGTGGAAGAGGCCTCTGAAAGTGGATAGAGAAGCCTGAGCTGCCGCTGAGCACTTCGGCTCGAGGCAGGTCCTGCTGAAGTGTCCTGGGTTGATTTTTCTTGGTAGTTGGCAAAGCCAGGGCTGGAGAGATTTGGGCTAGGAAGCTATGGGACTGCATGCCCAACCAGTGGTGGTTGACAGCAGAAGCGTGGCTTGAGTGGACGCAGGCTAGCCTGTGGACGGACCTAGGCTGTAGACCTGCAAGCTGCCCCACCCGGCCTCATAGGCTCCAACACATCACATTTCACCAGTGCCCCAATTCTTCTTCGGACTAAAGTGGAGAGAGGAGAGAATGGTGGAGGGCTTCCTCTTGGGGGCAGAGGTGGAAGAGATATGGGATGTAGGTGAGACTGGGCACTCTAGCAGGTCTGAGTTCAATTCAGGATTTATCACCAGTCTCTCAGAAAGGGCTCGAAGGTGTGGGTTGTATTGCTTAGGACGGTTTGTAGGCACCTGAGGGCTCACAGCAGGTCATAATATGATAAACTACTTAATACACGCACATGCACACCCCACTTGGGTGCCCCAATTCCCATTTTTCATTCAGAGAGAAACAAGAGCTTGAGAGGGTATAGACAGAGGTTCTTTTTTCTGAGTTGGAGGATGAGGGAATATGAGGGTGGTGGCTACTGCATGACATAGAAAGACCCTGTTCTGTTCCCTTTGAACCAGTGGACCACTGATGGCTTGTGCTGCTGTGGTCTGAAACTGGGGATGCAATTTCAAAATACATTCTGTCTCCATCCCTGGGAAGATACTGTGTATTTTCCCCGTTCACCTTACAGTCTTTTTAGTTCATTTGTAAATAGGGATACGTTAAGGGGGAAGCTGGGGATATTCCTCAATACCTGAGTCTCAGGCTAAACAAGGGCTTTGGCACTGACTGCTGTTTCTCCCCTCCACCCTTGGTCCCCTAAATCAGGAGTTTCAGGGTTTTCATTCAGATGAAGATGTGGCCCCCAGTTCCCTGCGCTCTGCGCTCCGATCCCAGCGAGGTGAGTGATGGGGAAACTCTACCTCTGTAGCTTTATAGGAATGTTACTTTTGCTTTTTGTGTCAGCTCTGCCCTGCTCTAGAGTCTCCATCAGTTACCAAGTGTGTTCTGTGTCAAAGCCCCAGCTAGGCTGGGTTGTGGGGGAAGCAGACAAGTAGAGTTCCTGCACTCCTGGAGTCTTCCTCTGTCTGCAGGGCCAGCTTGACCCATCTCCCCACACCTATTCTCCTTTTAGGTCGAGCCCCCCGAGGTCGGGGCCGCAAGCATAAGACGACCCCCCTTCCGCCTCCTCGCCTAGCAGATGTGGCTCCTACACCCCCAAAGACTCCTGCGCGGAAACGGGGTGAGGAGGGCACAGAACGGATGGTGCAGGCACTGACTGAACTTCTCCGGCGGGCCCAGGCACCCCCAGCCCCCCGGAGCCGGGCATGTGAGTCCTCCACCCCCCGTCGGTGTCGGGGACGGCCCCCAGGACGGCCAGCAGGCCCCTGCAGGAAGAAGCAACAAGCAGTAGTGGTGGCAGAAGCAGCTGTGACAATCCCCAAACCTGAGCCCCCACCTCCTGTTGTTCCAGTAAAACACCGAACTGGCAGCTGGAAGTGCAAGGAGGGGCCCGGCCCAGGACCTGGGACCCCCAAGCGTGGAGGACAGTCTGGGCGAGGAGGCCGTGGAGGCAGGGGCCGAGGCCGAGGCCGGCTCCCCCTCGTGATCAAGTTTGTTTCAAAGGCCAAAAAAATGAAGATGGGACAGTTGTCCTTGGGACTTGAATCAGGTCAGGGTCAAGATCAGCATGAGGAAAGCTGGCAGGATGCCCCCCAGGGAAGAGCTGGATCTGGGCAAGGAGAGGGCCCCTGCTGGAGGAAAGAGCAGAAGCTGGAGGAGGAGGGAGAGGAGGAGAAAGAAGAGGAAGATGAGGAAGAGAGAGCTGTAGCTGAGGAAGCAATGGTGCTAGCCGAGGAGAAGGAAGAGGCAAAGCTGCCGTCACCACCCCTGACTCCTCCAGCCCCTCCACCTCCTCCATCCCTGCCACCCCCCTCAGCATCTCCTCCATCCCCACTTTGCCCTCCCCCACCACCTGTGTCTCCTCCCCCCCCACCATCTCCCCCACCGCCTCGTGCCCCCGAGGAGCAGGAAGAGTCCCCTCCTCCCGTGGTCCCAGCTACATGCTCGCGAAAGAGGGGCCGGCCTCCCCTGACTCCCAGCCAGCGGGCAGAGCGAGAAGCTGCTCGGGCAGGGCCAGAGGGCACCTCTCCTCCCACTCCAGTCCCCAGCACTGCCACAGGAGGCCCTCTGGAAGACAGCCCCACTGTGGCCCCCAAAAGTACCACCTTTCTGAAGAACATCCGACAGTTTATTATGCCTGTGGTGAGTGCCCGCTCTTCCCGTGTCATCAAGACACCCCGGCGATTTATGGATGAAGACCCCCCCAAGCCCCCAAAGGTGGAGGTCTCACCTACTCTACGGCCTCCCATTGCCACCTCCCCACTGGCCCCCCAGGAACCAGCACCAGCCCCCTCTCCACCCCGTGCCCCAACTCCTCCATCTACCCCAGTCCCACTCCCTGAGAAGAGACGGTCCATCCTAAGGGAACCCACATTTCGCTGGACCTCACTGACCCGGGAACTGCCCCCTCCTCCCCCTGCTCCTCCACCGGCCCCACCCCCACTTCCTGCCCCTGTCACTCCTTCCCGGAGGCCCCTGCTCCTTCGGGCCCCTCAGTTTACCCCAAGTGAAGCCCACCTGAAGATCTACGAATCGGTGCTTACTACTCCTCCTCTTGGGGCCCCTGAAGCCCCTGAGCCAGAGCCGCCTCCTGCCGATGACTCCCCAGCTGAGCCTGAGCCGCGGGCAGTGGGCCGCACGAACCACCTCAGCTTGCCTCGATTTGCCCCTGTGGTCGCCACTCCTGTTAAGGCTGAGATGCCCTCCCCTGGGGCTCCAGCTCCAAGCAGTGGGCAGCAGCCTCACGCTCAGCTGCAGCAGCCCCTGCAGGCCTTGCACACCCAGCTGCTGCCCGCAGCACTACCACCACCGCAGTCACTGCTGCAGCCACAGTTACAGCTGCAGCCGCCGCCACAGCAGGCGCCACCACTGGAAAAGGCCCGGATCGCAGGCCTGGGGTCCTTACCACTGTCTGGTGTGGAGGAGAAAATGTTCAGCCTCCTCAAGAGAGCCAAGGTGCAGCTAATCAAGATTGACCAGCAGCAGCAGCAGAAAGTGGCGTCTTTGATGCCGGTGAGCATGGTGCTTTGGCCAGGCCCCTGCACCCAGTCACTCAGGCTCAATTCTCTGCAGTCACTTTACCTCCTGTCTCTCAGGACACCTTCTAGTGTTGCAGGGAGCCCTCCAAGCCCGTCTTTGCCCTGTCCCCCAGCTTCTTGGGTTCCTTCCCTGGCCCCATTTGTCCTCACTCTACAGCCTCTGACCCTATTTATTCCCCCACCAGCCCAGCCCTGGAGGGCAGATGGAGGAGGTTGTGGGGACTGTCAAGCAGATCCCAGATAGAGGTTCTGTCAAGTCGGAAGATGAATCAGTGGAAACTAAGAGGGAGAGACCATCGGTATGGAGAGGGGAGAAGGCCCTCTGGGGAAGACTGGCAGAGGGAGTGTGAGGGGCAGCTCTCCACAGGTATTCCTGGTTTCTCCTCCCCCAGGGCCCCGAGTCCCCTGTGCAAGGCCCCCGCATCAAACATGTGTGCCGTCACGCTGCTGTGGCCCTGGGTCAGGCCCGGGCCATGGTGCCTGAAGACGTCCCCCGCCTCAGCGCTCTCCCTCTCCGGGATCGGCAGGACCTCAACGCGGAGGGTAGGGGCGGGTGTGTTGTGGGGAAGTTTTGACAGCTGTGTCAAATTGGGGGGTAAGCAAAGGAATCAAGAACTTGGGAGAATGGCAGCTGAGTAGGGTGCTTAGGGCCAGGTGGCAAGTGGGTTGGACTGCTAGGTCTTAGAGCGGCCTTGGGAATACCTGGAGCCTGAGCATGGTGGGAAAGTGGGGCCGGTTGAATGGGATCTCGGGGAGGTCAGAGGACTGGGGTACAACTCCAGTGCTTCGTGGCTCCATCCCCACCTCTTCACTGCACTAGATACGTCATCAGCATCTGAGACCGAGAGCGTCCCATCCCGGTCCCAGCCAGGAAAGGTGGAGTCAGCAGGGCCCGGGGGAGACTCAGAGCCTGCAGGGTCTGGAGGGACCCTGGCACACGCACCCCGGCGCTCACTGCCCTCCCATCACGGCAAGAAGATGCGGATGGCACGGTGTGGACACTGTCGGGGCTGCCTGCGTGTGCAGGACTGTGGCTCCTGTGTCAACTGCCTGGACAAGCCCAAGTTTGGGGGCCCCAACACCAAGAAGCAGTGCTGTGTGTGAGTAGCTGGGGCGCAGGCTCCATTCCTACCCATGGTTGTCAGTCGCCCAGGCCTCCTGCCCCAGCAGAGCAGTGGGATTGGCATCCTTGTGGAGAGCTTCCTCTCTTCCCCCAGACCACCAGTCCCCTACCCTGGTGACGTGCTGCTCCCCTCCCCAGATACCGGAAGTGTGACAAGATAGAGGCACGGAAGATGGAACGGCTGGCCAAAAAAGGTAACGAGGCTTGAGAAACATTTCTTTACACAGTCTTACTGAGATGCATGGTATGGAGGAAACCATGTCTTTCTCTGCTCTTTTTCCTTTATCTTTGCAGTCCACCACCTTTGTCGTTTTTCCCATTGCGCACTTTTGTATCTCCTGTACTTATTCTCTTCTGCCCCGCTTTTTTCTGGCTTTTCTCCATCCTAGTGTCCATGTCCCTGGCTGAGCTCAGATCCTACTAAGTCCCCTGTTCCCACAGGCCGGACGATAGTGAAGACGCTGTTGCCCTGGGATTCCGATGAATCTCCTGAGGCCTCCCCTGGTCCTCCAGGCCCACGCCGGGGGGCGGGAGCTGGGGGGCCCCGGGAGGAGGTGGTGGCCGCCCCGGGGCCCGAGGAGCAGGACTCCTTCCTACTGCAGCGCAAGTCAGCCCGGCGCTGCGTCAAACAGCGACCCTCCTATGATATCTTCGAGGACTCGGATGACTCAGAGCCCGGGGGTCCCCCTGCTCCTCGGCGTCGGACCCCCCGGGAGAATGGTATGAATTGTTGCTGCTTTCGCTATCAGTCCTGTGTGTGGAAGGGTTAGGACTCCCCAACCCAAGGCTCTTGGTCTCCAGGAGAGTGACCGAGTAAAGAGAAGGGTATGGTTTTAGTGGGCAGGGAAAACGGGTGCCGGAGGTTTTCAGTAGGTTATTGAACAAGGTTCAAGTCATCCTCATGGACTTGGGCTCGTTAAAGGCCTGGGGATCCGGAAGTCACATGGGGTGGTAGAGGAGGGGGGATGGGGCAGAGAAAAGGGGGAACCTCACCACTCCTGTGTCCTGCCTAGAGCTGCCAGTGCCAGAACCAGAGGAGCAGAGCCGGCCCCGCAAACCCACCCTGCAGCCTGTGTTGCAGCTCAAGGCCCGAAGGCGCCTGGACAAGGTCAGCATAGCCCCACACCAAGAACCTGAGCCCTGTGTAAAGCATGGCTCCATCCCAGGGAGCTTCCTGACAAGTCAGGGTCACAGGCTCACCTGAGTGCTGTAGTGTGTCCATGCCAGAGGACAGGCCCTGGGTGGGTGAAGCAGGCATATCTCTCTGGAAGGTGAGAAAGGATCTAGGCGAAAGGCAGGTTGGCGTAGGCTAGAGAGAGGGCAGTGAGAAGTTGGTAAAGGGTGGAGCTGCAGCCCTCTGAGCACCACTGTCTCTCCCTAGGATGCTTTGGGTCCTGGCCCTTTCGCCTCTTTTCCCAATGGCTGGACTGGAAAACAAAAGTCTCCAGATGGTGTGCACCGGGTTCGTGTGGATTTTAAGGTATGGTTTAGGGTGGTGGGAAGAAATGTGTTGGTTACGAATGAGAACCCTGGTCTTTTAAGTTTGGATCTTTCTATGTTCCTGGCTGTTCCCTGATTCTGCATCTTCTCTTCCCTCAGGAGGATTGTGACCTGGAGAATGTGTGGCTGATGGGTGGCCTAAGCGTACTCACCTCCGTGCCAGGGGGACCACCCATGGTGTGCTTGCTGTGTGCCAGCAAAGGCCTGCATGAGGTTGGATCCCTTCCCCTTCCAAGTCTCTGTTAGCCCTGACTGCCTGGTTTTTGGGCCTTCTCAACAGGTTCACCCTCCCTGGCCTCCTGGCCCCTCATTCTGCCCATTGTTCACTCTCCCCACTCCTAGCTGGTGTTCTGCCAGGTCTGCTGTGACCCTTTCCACCCATTCTGCCTGGAGGAGGCCGAGCGGCCCCTGCCCCAACATCATGACACTTGGTGCTGCCGCCGCTGCAAGTTTTGCCATGTCTGTGGGCGCAAAGGCCGGGGATCCAAGGTTTGGGCACAGGGGTGTGGCAGTGGCAGCATGGAGGAGAGGGGTGTCTCTGAGCCGGTGGGTTTTGCCATTTTTGTCTTTCTATGATATCCTACAGCACCTCCTGGAGTGTGAGCGCTGCCGCCATGCTTACCACCCAGCCTGTCTGGGGCCCAGCTACCCAACCCGGGCCACACGCAAACGGCGCCACTGGGTGAGAGATGAGGCCCCCTCTCCTGGCTGTGGAGCGCTAATTAATGCCGCCACCACCCCAGGACTGCTCTAGGCCAGGGCTCTTGGGGGTGGGAGGGTGGAGGTCCTCTTAAGAGGACATCACATGTCCTCTTCAAGAATTTCGCACAGACGAGATTTCTGTGCAGAATTTGCATGTAATGGTTTTACAGGCTCATGGATTCCGTAGTCCCCTGCTGTAGCCTCATCTCTTCCCGTCTCAGTCTGCCAGTCTCCCCACTTCATCTCTCCTGCCCTGCTGCTTTCCCTCTCCATCCTCCTCTTCACCTCTCCCACACACCTGTTTTCCTTACCCATACTTCCGCATCTGTCTCATGCCCACTCCTCTTTGCCCTTCCCCACTTCGCACTGCTCCAGCCTGGTATCTGGTTCTCCCCCTAATATTGCCCTGCCCCCCCAGATCTGCTCAGCCTGCGTGCGCTGTAAGAGCTGTGGGGCAACTCCAGGCAAGAACTGGGACGTCGAGTGGTCGGGAGATTACAGCCTCTGCCCCAGGTGCACCCAGCTCTTTGAGAAAGGTGGGGACCTGGCAGGGGACCGGGGCCCCGGGGGCCGCCGGGGAGTGGGCCAGGTTCTTAGGCAAGCAGTTGGGAGAGATACTCTTTGCTAGTATTTCTCCACTCTCTTCTACCTCTGGAGCCTTTCTTCCATTCAAAGTACTCTTGTAGGAGCCCTTCTAGTACTTGGAGGGACGTGGCCCCTCTGAGGGCGGTGGGAGTGGAGGGCTCGGACCCCACTCTCATGGTGGTCCTGGAAGTACCTCCTAAAACCTTACGTCTCTGCTGAGCTATCTGAAGACCTGGGCTTCCTCATTGGCTCAAGCAGCGGGTTTAGCAAGGCTCTTTGCATTGTGATGCCTTGGGGCTGCAGAGTTAGGAGAGCAACCTTATCCTTAGCCAGCCTTTGGGGCGTGGTAGGGACCCAAGTGGGGCAGGACAGGGCAGCTCGTGCAGCAGTCGTGGGCCGGCTGGCCTCCATGCCAGGCTGCTGAGGGCAGCTCGTGGCACCAGCCCTTCTGACTTGCCTTTTCTTGTTCCAGGAAACTATTGCCCGATCTGCACACGCTGCTATGAAGACAATGACTACGAGAGCAAGATGATGCAGTGTGCACAGTGTGACCACTGGGTGCACGCCAAGTGTGAGGGGCTCTCAGGTGAGTGGATGGAAGACTGGGGTGTGGCCTCAGCCATGTCCTGCCCTTGGCCGCAGGCTCTCGGGACAGCGAAATGTTCTTACTGACCTGGGGCGGTCTGAAAACTTCCACGTCACTGAAACCATTTTTCTCTTTCGTGCCCTGGCTGTTCTAGATGAAGACTACGAGATCCTTTCAGGGCTGCCAGACTCGGTGCTGTACACCTGTGGGCCGTGTGCTGGGGCCACGCATCCCCGCTGGCGAGAGGCCCTGAGTGGGGCCCTGCAGGGGGGCCTGCGCCAGGTGCTTCAAGGCCTGCTGAGCTCCAAGGTGGCAGGCCCACTGCTGCTGTGCACCCAGGTCTGCGGGCCCGGATGACTGGACGGGAGGGGCCCGGCCCAGCATGAGCCCTGCTGACTTTCCCTCTTTGCAGTGTGGGCAGGATGGACAGCAGCTGCACCCAGGGCCCTGTGATCTGCACGCTGTGAGCCGGCGCTTCGAGGAGGGCCACTACAAGTCTGTGGTGAGTGGGACACTGAGGAGCTGCTGTGTGCCTGGGGGAGAGGATTAGGGTGGGGGCTCAGGTCCTGACAAACCCCCTTACAGCACAGCTTCATGGAGGATGTGGTGGGCATCCTGATGAGGCACTCTGAGGAAGGAGAGATGCTGGAGCGCCGGGCTGGAGGCCAGACCAAGGGGCTCCTACTGAAGGTGAGCTCATTGGGGGCTGCCCTGAGGTTGGCTTGCATGGTAGCAGGGAGGAGAGAGTGGGTTCCTGCCCTCACCACCCCTCCTGGGGAAGACAGTTCTCATTCTCTTAACCCGCTCCCCAGCTGCTAGAGTCTGCGTTTGGCTGGTTCGACGCCCACGACCCCAAGTACTGGCGACGGAGTACCCGGCTGCCCAAGTGAGCAAGGCTGGGTAGCAGGGGGGGAACCAGGGAGTGAGGGCAAAGGCAGGGGCACCTGGGAATCCAGGGTCCAGCTGGACTGAGAAGAGACAAGGAGCAGGCTGGGGGTCTTGGAGGGCGGTGGGGCCAGGACGAGAGTCCCTCGTGGTTCCAGACGAGCAGAGACTCGTATTGTGTGGTTAACTCTGACTTTGGGTGTGCATTATGCAAGGTGGTGTTGGGGACAGCAGTGTGCAAGCCATGTTTGGGGGGTTGGGCAGGCACTGATAACCTGGACAGTTAGGGCTTTGATGGGGAGGCCCAGGGGCTGTGGGAGCCCAGAGGAGGTGCCTGCCTAGGAGCCTTGGGCCTGAGGCTTCCCAGAGAAATGGCATCTAAGCTGAGAAGTGGAAGATATGTATTCTGGGCATGGAGAACAATATTTTATGTGGCAAAGGTGGCATAAGAGGGTCTGGCTTGTTTGGAAGGCTGAGAGAAGTTCCACATAGAGAGAGGACAGAGGGGGTCATGGCATAATCAGATTGATGCTATGGGTGGGCCCCAGTCCAGCACCCCTCCGTTAGATGTGTCAGAGGCTGACCCTGCCTGTCCACAGCGGAGTCCTTCCCAATGCTGTGTTGCCCCCATCCCTGGACCACGTCTACGCTCAGTGGAGGCAGCAGGAACCAGAGACCCCAGAATCAGGGCAGCCTCCAGGGGATCCCTCAACAGGTACTGGGCAGTTGGGGCTAGAAACTTGATCGCCTAGTTGGTGGGCCAGGTTCCAGGTCCTCGTTCTTTGACCGTCCTTCCCACACCCCTTCCAGCTTTCCAGGGCAAGGATTCAGCTGCTTTCTCACATCTGGAGGACCCCCGTCAGTGTGCGCTCTGCCTCAAATATGGGGATGCGGACTCTAAGGTGAGGGCTACTGTATGAAGACCCAGGTTGTAGGGTCTGGTCTCTAACTCCTCCCCTCACACCACGACTCTGCCCCCAGGAGGCAGGACGGCTTCTGTACATTGGGCAGAATGAGTGGACACACGTCAACTGTGCCATTTGGTCAGCCGAAGTGTTTGAAGAAAACGACGGCTCCCTCAAAAACGTGCATGCTGCTGTGGCTCGAGGGAGGCAGATGGTGAGGGCACGGGCCTGGAGAGGGGGCAGTTCTCGGGGGCTGGGGTGGGGCCCAACTCCAGTAGAGACAGCTCTGGTTTCGAGGTCTCTGCCACAGCTTGTCCCCGGTGCCTCTTTTGGCTGTCCAGGACTCTAGGGCTGCAACAAAAGCAAGTCTTTTCTTATTTGTGCTGTCTGGTTTAATACGGGTCTGAAGCCTGGGAGACTAACAGTTAGATGATCTCCTATTACTAAGTCTGTGTGGCATTTACCTCCTATTCCACCCCGTGAGGTGAGGTGCTACATGGGACCCCTCCTCTGTGGGGTGCCGCCAGCTCACCCTCAGGAAGTAGGATGAGAGAGGCCTGCCACAGCGGGCAGATGTGAGGGTTCAGTGAAGTAATACGGGCTCCACGTTAGAACAGTGTGAGGAAACCTTAGCTCCTGTTCTTCTTCTTCTTGCTACAGCTGTTTCAAGGAGTCTGCACTTGTTTTGATGTGTGCCTGGGCCTGGATGCCACTGGTGGGGAGGGAATGTGCCGTTGTTCTGTGAGGTGCTAGGCTCGGCAGGGGCCCAGGGGAGTCTGAGGACAGCGATGCTGGGTGTCAGGCCCTGGCTTCCTCGCTTAGCAACCCCTTCTGTCCGTAGCGCTGTGAGCTCTGCCTGAAGCCTGGTGCTACGGTGGGCTGCTGCCTCTCCTCCTGCCTCAGCAACTTCCACTTCATGTGCGCCCGGGCCAGCTACTGCATCTTCCAGGATGACAAGAAGGTGTTCTGCCAGAAACACACAGACCTGTTGGATGGCAAGGTGGGGCCTCACCTTGGGGATGCAGTGCCCCACTGCACTCTCCTCTTCCTCTCAGGGAGCCTGTAGCCCCTCGGGCCTCACCCAGCTGCCTCTTAGTGTCCCTTCCTTGTTCCCTTATCCTCCGCCCCCAATCATTTAGTCAAGCCCCTTGACTGACCAGTCTCTGGAGCGAGCCTTCCCTCACATCCCCCTCACCCCCTCACCAATCCAGCAACCCCATTTGCCACCCACCTCCCAGGAGATCGTGAACCCTGATGGTTTTGATGTTCTCCGCCGAGTCTACGTGGACTTTGAGGGCATCAATTTCAAGCGAAAGTTCTTGACGGGGCTTGAACCTGATGCCATCAATGTGCTCATTGGTAAGCAGCTTGCTCTCTCCCCTCGTCTTCCTGACCATGCCTAGGCCCGCTCTCCTGACCTCTCCCACCCACCTATATCATAGGTTCCATCCGGATCGACTCCTTGGGCACTCTCTCTGACCTCTCAGACTGTGAGGGACGGCTCTTCCCCATTGGCTACCAGTGAGCAACCCAAGGGGCGTTGGTGGGGCTGGGGGCCTCGAGGGCTGGATCTTGTTTCCCAAGTTGTCCTGACCCTTTTGTCCCACACGCCCCCCCTCCCAACCTTCCCCCCGGCCAGGTGCTCCCGTCTGTACTGGAGCACAGTAGATGCCCGGCGGCGCTGCTGGTATCGGTGCCGGATCCTGGAGTATCGGCCGTGGGGGCCAAGGGAAGAGCCAGTTCACCTGGAGGCAGCAGAAGAGAACCAGACCATTGTGCACAGTCCTGCCCCTTCCTCAGGTACGGCCTTGGAGCTCACGCATTTTCTTCCCTGAGTGCTGCCCTCTGCAGACAGGTACCCACCAAGCCTTGTTCTCCTGTGCCCTAATGAAATCCCAGGATGTTTGCCATTGTTCTGTTTGTTGTAATGGTGGTAGCTTAAGATTAACTTCATGCCAGGAAGTGAGGAGAGAGGTGAGCACTAACTGCTTGTGAGGTTGGCAGCTTCTGGACAAATGTAGGGAGCATTTATGGCCACCTGACTCGGGGCTCTGTGCTTGTGTTATGCTCCCCACAGCCCCTTGAGAAAGGGATAAGCTCCTCTGTACATCCCAGAAAGGACATAGTGGCGGACCCAGGATTCAACCCTAGATCTCCTCATTTCCCGAACTGACACCCTCCCCTCCATGCTAGCGCTTAGGGCCGGTTGGCAGGAAGCACAGAATGGGCTCAAGGACTGGTAGGCCAGTGGGAGGAGGGAGAGATGTGGATTGTGCTTGTGGGCAGGGTGTTTGTTCTGGGTTGGAGCACAACATGGAGAGAGGGGAAAGAGGGTATGGCCATCCTGGCTGGAAGCACGGGAGTGTTGGGAGGAGGCGGCAGAGATCAGCTTGTACAGATTGGGTGGAGCCAGGTAATGGGGCGCCACAAGCGCCAGGATTGGGTGGTTGCGTTTGATGTGGCTGGGATGTGCAGTGCAAGTAAGAAAGTGGTAGGACTGGCCGTGCTGGAGGGAGGGCAGTACCCTGTGTGGGGCCTGAATCTGGGAGAGAACAGCAGGCATCCAGGAAGTGAGGAAATGGCAAAGGATGAGTGAGGGGGTCACAAAGGGACTCTGAGCCACGTGTATGGGGAGGTTTTGCAGAAGCCAGAGAGGTTTGAGACCTGGGTGATGACTGGGAACGCAAGCACCTTGTGCCCAGATCAGGGGCCAGACGGAGAAGGTGTGAGTGCCTCAAAAGAATGAAAGGTGTGTGAGCAGAGGCTTTCACAAGGAGCCCCCGCCACCCACGATGCCATTTTCTTGCCTCTCTAGAGCCCCCAGATCATGTGGACCCCCCGCCAGATACAGATGTCCTTATCCCTAGAGCTCCTGAGCACCACCCACCTGTTCAGAATCCGGACCCCCCACCTCGGCTGGATCCAAGCAGCGCCCCTCCTCCAACCCCCCGCTCCTTCTCGGGGGCTCGAATCAAAGTGCCCAACTACTCACCATCCCGGAGGCCCTTGGGGGGTGTGTCCTTTGGACCCCTGCCCTCCCCTGGTGAGTACCTGGAAGTCCTGGGGAGGGGTGGGGCAGGGTGAGGCAGAAACTCCTGGCTGACACCAACCCTTCCCCCTACAGGAAGTCCATCTTCTCTGACCCACCACATCCCTACAGTGGGAGACCCGGACTTCCCAGCTCCCCCGAGACGCTCCCGTCGCCCCAGCCCTCTGGCTTCCAGGCTGCCACCTTCACGGCGGGCCTCTCCCCCTCTCAGAACCTCTCCTCAGCTCAGGGTGCCCCCTCCTACCTCAGTCGTTAGAGCCCTCACACCTACCTCAGGGGAGCTGGCTCCCCCAAGCCGGGCCCCGTCTCCTCCACCACCCCCTGAAGACCTGGGCCCAGACTTTGAGGACATGGAGGTGGTATCAGGACTGAGTGCTGCTGACCTGGACTTTGCGGCCAGCCTGCTGGGGACTGAGCCCTTCCAGGAAGAGATCGTGGCTGCGGGGGCTGGGGGTAGCAGCCACGGGGGCCTGGGGGACAGCTCAGAGGAGGAGGCCAGCCCCACCCCCCGCTACGTCCACTTCCCTGTGACTGTGGTGTCTGGCCCTGCCCTGGGCCCTGGTGCCCTCCCCGGAGCCCCCCGCATTGAACAGCTGGACGGAGTGGATGATGGCACCGACAGCGAGGCCGAGGCAGTCCAGCAGCCTCGGGGCCAGGGGACTCCTCCTTCAGGGCCAGGAGCAGGCCGGGCGGGGCTTATCGGGGCTGCAGGGGACAGGGCCCGACCTCCCGAGGACTTGCCGTCAGAAATCGTGGATTTTGTGTTGAAGAACCTAGGGGGGCCTGGGGAGGGGGTTGCTGGACCCAGAGAGGAGCCCCACCCCCCAGCACCTCCCCTGGCCAATGGCAGCCAGCCCCCTCAGGGCCTGCCCCCTAACCCAGCTGACCCCACCCGGACGTTTGCCTGGCTCCCTGGACCCCCAGGGGTCCGGGTATTGAGCCTCGGCCCTGCCCCTGAGCCCCCGAAACCTGCCGCATCCAAGATCATCCTTGTCAACAAGCTGGGGCAGGTGTTTGTAAAGATGGCAGGGGAGGGTGAACCTGTCTCACCCCCAGTGAAGCCACCGCCTCTGCCTCCTCCCATGCCCCCCACGACCCCCACTTCCTGGACTCTGCCCCCAGGACCCCTGCTGGGTGTGTTGCCAGTAGTAGGGGTGGTCCGCCAAGCCCCGCCCCCACCCCCCCCTCCGTTGACGCTGGTGTTGAGCAGTGGGCCCCCCAGCCCGCCCCGCCAGGCCATCCGTGTCAAAAGGGTGTCCACCTTCTCTGGCCGTTCTCCACCAGCACCTCCACCAAGCAAGACTCCCCGGCTGGAGGAAGATGGAGAGTCCTTGGAGGACCCCCCCCAGGGTTCAGGGCCTTGTGGCAGTGGGTGAGTGAGTGTGGCCAGGCTGTGGAGTGGGAGAGAGGTGGGCAGGGGAAGGCACTCAGCCTTCTCACGGTGCCCCTACCCCAGGTTCAGCCGAGTGAGGATGAAAACGCCCACCGTGCGTGGAGTCCTTGACCTGGATGATCCTGGGGAGCCCACTGCGGGGGAAAGTCCGAGGTGAGTGGCCAGCCTCCTTTCCCTGGAGGCTCTGGTACCGCTGTCCTTTCCTCCTTCTGACAGGTCTCTTCTCACAGGCCCCTCCAGGACCGGTCCCCTCTGCTGCCACTTCCTGAAGGTGGTCCTCCCCGGGCCCCTGAGGGTCCCCCTGACCTGCTGCTTGAGTCCCAGTGGCACCACTACTCAGGTAGGGACCAGCCTCTCCCTCTCACTGCCTCCCTCCCCCATGCTTGTCTCAGCTGAGTAACTGGCATATGTAATTGGTTCACTTTAAACACTTCCTGGGTGTTGCACATTGCACACTCAACATGGCTACAAGCCTGAGGTAGGGTGCTAGGGTTGCAGAGATACCCTTAGGAGCTTGTGGTCTGTGGCGGAAACAGACACATGCCTGTCCAGTGTCCCCTGAAGGTCAAGGAAGGGCTTCAGAACTTCATGTGCCAGGGTCAGAGGGTTAGGTACCTAGTAAAGTCAAAGATGGGGTTCTGGGGATCATGCAGGAAGAGTTAGCCCACTTGAGACCCAGAGGAAGGGCAAGAGCAGTAGGGAAGTCAGAGGAGAATGGGGTCCAGAGGCTCAGGGAAGGCCATCAGTAGTCCGCCATCCCAGCTGCTGCAGAGGACACCATGCACGTGGGCTCTGGGCGAGGTGTACTGTCCGTGCAGGTAGCACAGGGCGGGGAAGATGTTGTGTCAGCATCTAAAACTGAAGACGGTGATGAGGAAGCCAGAACAAAGCCCAGGCACCTCACCGAAAAGCCCAGCTGAGAGTCTTGGGTAGGGGGAAGGGTGGGGGGGAGGGTGAGACAGACTTACAGGGGTTTTATGTGAGGACTGTGAAAGCAAAGGCAAGAAGGAAGTTGAGTGGGACTCATGGATGGAAAAGAAGGTGGGAGGAGGTGTGGCAGTCAGGTTTGAATGGAGACCCCTGAGACGGAGGGAAGGACACGAGGAAGGTGTACAGGCATACCTCGTTTTATTGCTCTTCACTTTATCACATTTTTACAAATTGAAGGTTTGTGGAAACCCTGCATGGAGCAAGTCTTATCAGCGTCGTTTTTCCAACAGTATTTGCTCACTTTGTGTCTCTGTGTCACACTTTGGTAATTTTCATAATACTTTAAACTTTTTCATTATCTGTTATGGTGATCAGTGATCAGTGATCTTTGCTGTTACTATTGCAAGAAGATTACAACTTGCTGAAAGCTCAGATGATGGTTAGCATATTTTAGCGATAATTAAGGTATGTACATTGTTTTTTTAGCCATAATGCTGTTGCACATTTAAGAGACTACAATGTAGTGTAAACATAACTATTATATGCCCTGGGAAACCCAAAAGATTTGTTGACTTGCTTTATTTCAGTATTTACCCTAATGCGGTGGTCCGGAACTGAACCCGCAATATCTGCGAGTTATGCCTGTACTTGCAGAGATAATGAGACAACAGGATGCAGGATGGGGCACTTGGAGCAGTTCTGGCTGATGGACTCAGTGAAGCTGGAAGGGCAGTGCTCTGCTGGTCATGGAGGGCAGGGGGAGAGGGAGTGGGCTCCAGCCAAGTAAGCTGGTAATTGAGCAGCCCAAGGCTCAGAATTTCTTGTGGCCCCAGTCCTGTTGGAATGTGTGGATTTTCTCATTATGTAGAGCTCAAATGCTGAGTAAGGAAGTGGAGCGAAGTGGACTGAGACTTTAGCTGAAAGGCTACTTACAGGGTCAGAGATGGCATAAGGAGGTGGTAGTGACCATGACAGACAGGGCCCTGCCCATAGGGACCAGACACATTTTGCTAGAGGAAACCAACGTAATTAGCAAGTGCACTTCAGCTCAGAATGAGCACTGTGAGAAAGAAGCCAGTGAGAGTGTGCCTGGGTGAGACTTCTGTCTACAGACTGATCTGTGTAGCTGTGTTCAGGGAACGGAATGGAAGTGAGAGTGGAGAAAGGCGGAAGAAGTCAGAGGAGGACCCTGGGTCATTTGGAGGCTTGGCGATGATGTGGGTCACACAGCAAGAGTTAGGTTTAGTCTTGCTTAGGACTGGAGGGTGGGCATATGGGCAGGTTGACCCAAAGAAGTTATGTGGGAAGAATGTATGGCCATGTGAGTCCTGCCTCTCCTAAAATGTGCTCCATTCAAAACATTTGCCCCCATCCCACTCACCCTAGGTACAGTGGTCGGGCCTCAGTTCACATCCTGCTTGAGCCAGTAGCATCATTTGCTGCATGGATCCCTCCCTCCTTGATGCACTTCCTCTCCTGGCTTCCAGCCCTCTCCTCACCTTTGGTCATGCCTCATTGTTCTAGCCTGTCGACTTTGGTGTGTCCCAGGACCCTGACCTTGACTTCTCGATCTCCACTTATTCCTGAGTCCTCTTGTCTATCATCCTGGCTCTAAATCCCATCTCTAATCCTGATAGCTCCCAAATCGCTAGCCAGGCTCCTGTATCCTGCTGCCCGCCTGCCATCTCTGCCACAAGTTGAAAGGGGAGGTTTTCTAAGAGGGATCTCTGACTCAGTGTGTCCTAAACTGAGTTCTTGACTTTCACTACAAACTTGTTTTCTCCCTTACCTTTACTGCCTCAGTCAGTGGCCGTTGTATCCTTCCAGTTGTTTAGACTCCACACCTGGAGTTGTCCTTGACTCTCCTCTTTTTCACATCCACTCACCTGTTAGCTAGGCTGTCTATTCTAGCTTTAAATTCTTTAGCCCTTGAGAAGTCCCTCATAGTGTACATATACTTGATTCTGTGAGTATGGGCTTTTTATAATACTATATTGGTAATCTTTACAGAAATGGGGTGCACATTAAAAAATTGTTGTTTAGTCAATAAGTCATGTTTACCTCTTTTGTGACCCCATGGACTGTACTCCAGCAGGCTCTTGTGTCCATGGGATTTTCCAGACAAGAATACTGGAATGGGTTGCCATTGCCTTCTCCAGAGAATCATCCCGACCCAGGGATCGAATACACGTCTCCTGCTTGGCAGGCAGATTCTTTACCACTGAGCCACCAGGGAAGCCCACTTAAAAAAACACATGTGTGAAATAGTTCTCCAGTATTTTAAATTTTGTGTGAGATTCAGAAGAATGAGGAGCAGGTGGGCATTTGTGATAGACTGAGTTTGAGTGAGCTGTGAACATGTCCTACAGAAAAGGGACTAAAAATAATGTCCATTCTGTAGGATTCATTGGGCAAATATTGCAAGAGGAAGGCCATTAAATCTAGTAACTGTGCTTATACCCGAGGAGGAAGGGAAGGCAGAGGGGAGCCAGGGACGTTTGAGTCAAGGAAGGGTGACCCTCCCCAACTCTGATCTGCTCCCTGGGACCAGGTGAGGCTTCAAGCTCCGAGGAAGAGCCTCCATCCCCAGAGGACAAAGAGAACCAGGCCCCTAAACGGGCTGGCCCACACCTGCGTTTCGAGATCAGCAGTGAGGATGGGTTCAGCGTAGAGGCAGAAAGCTTGGAAGGTGAGTTGGGGATAGCGTTGACAGGAAGGGGAGATGTTAGATAGAACATTATTCTGATAGCTTTGGCCCTGCCCTCTCCCCAGGGGCATGGAGAACTCTGATTGAGAAGGTGCAAGAGGCCCGAGGGCATGCCCGGCTCAGACATCTCTCCTTCAGTGGTAACCGAGGGGGGTCCACAGGGATGCTGGGAGCTGGGATGACTCCCAGTTGACAGGATGGGCCTCCGACATGACCAGTGTGTCTTCACCGTTGACTCTCCCCAGGAATGAGTGGGGCAAGGCTCCTGGGCATCCACCACGATGCTGTCATCTTCCTGGCAGAGCAGCTGCCCGGGGCTCAGCGCTGCCAGCACTACAAGTTCCGCTACCACCAGCAGGGAGAGGGCCAGGAGGAGCCACCCCTGAACCCCCATGGGGCAGCCCGCGCAGAGGTGTATCTCCGGTGAGAGGTCTGGGGTGTGGCGCCTGGGTCTGGGTAGCCCTAGAGGAGTTCTCAAGGGTGGGAATTTAGTCTGCACAGATTGGAAACTGAGGTCTGAGAATACACTAGGCTGCTCCAGAAGTTGTTTTTGGAGACCACATCAGAAGAATGAACCCCGTCTCTTCCCTTTTGCCGTGTCTTCAATAGTAGCAGTATTCTTCCTGCCCCACCAGCAGCAGGCCCAGGCCAAAGAATAGATGAAAGAATGGCTACAAACCTCCCTTCTTTTCTCCCTCCCACCTGCAGCAAGTGCACCTTTGACATGTTCAACTTCCTGGCCTCCCAGCACCGGGTGCTTCCTGAGGGAGCCACCTGTGACGAGGAAGAGGATGAGGTGCAGCTCAGGTCAACCAGGTATGGGGGGCAGGCCGGGGTGCTGGGGGTGGCCTGGAAGGGCCCAAAAGAGGGTAATCAGGGCAAGAGAAGTCATTTCTCGGTACCGGCCTGTGTGACACTGCCATCCCCCACCAGACGTGCCACCAGTCTGGAGCTGCCCATGGCCATGCGCTTTCGCCACCTCAAGAAGACATCCAAAGAGGCTGTGGGTGTCTACAGGTTCGTGGGGTTGTGGGGAGGGTGCCCCTTGAATGGACAGGCAGGTGCCCTGGTAAAGGGCTGTCTTGGTTCGGTCCCCCTTACCTCCCCCTTGCCCATCCTACCCTGCAGATCTGCCATCCACGGGCGGGGCCTGTTCTGTAAGCGCAACATCGATGCTGGTGAGATGGTCATTGAGTACTCTGGTATTGTCATTCGCTCTGTGCTGACTGACAAGCGGGAGAAGTTCTATGATGGGAAGGTAGGCTCTGCCAGGCCACGGGAATGAGGCAGCTGAAACAGGGTGGTCCATGGGAACAGAGCCTCTGACGTCCCCACCCTGTCCCTGTAGGGCATTGGGTGCTACATGTTCCGCATGGATGACTTTGACGTGGTGGACGCCACCATGCATGGCAATGCCGCCCGCTTCATCAACCACTCGTGTGAGCCCAATTGCTTCTCTCGAGTCATCCATGTGGAGGGCCAGAAGCACATCGTCATCTTCGCCCTGCGCCGCATCCTGCGTGGTGAGGAGCTCACCTATGACTACAAGTTCCCCATTGAGGATGCCAGCAACAAGCTGCCCTGCAACTGTGGCGCCAAGCGCTGCCGTCGCTTCCTTAACTGAAGCAGTGGCTGCCTGCCACGCCCCCCGCTGCCATCTTGCCCCTAGCCTGGGGGCTCCCTCGTCCCTCCTAGAGCATCTCACCCCCACCCTCATGTTTAGGGTGGATGTGGGCCTGCAGGTGGCGAGGGCCCTGCCTCCACCCCTCCAGCCCACCCAGCAATCGCCCCCTTCTTGCCCTGGGGGCCCAGGATGTAGATATTGTACAAAAGTTTCTAAATCCCTTCTTTTCTATGCACTTTTTTATTTAAGGGGGTGGGATCCCAGGTGGGAACCCCCCCACAATAAAGTCTGTCAATGTTTGGAGAGGTGGTCTTCCATTTGTATGGTGCTGGGTGCAGGTAGGACCTCTTGTTTCTCTGTGCCCCACCCCCATCCTGAGCCAGGGAAGCCCATCAGCCTGAACAGGTAGGTGAGAGGGCATGGTTCAGAACTAAAATTGTGGGGTCTCTTAAGGCTCAGAGCTAAATACAATACCTCTTCTGGGTTAGAATGGAACTAAGTCCCTGTAGATGAACTCTCCCAGGGGGAGCAGGGCCTTTTCTCAGAGGGGACCCTGGTTGCCCAGAGGTAACCCACAGCTGGTCTTGTATGTCAGGTGGGATTGGCCCATTCTGTGGGGGTGGGATTAGAAGGGGAATCAGAGAATTGTCTGTTGGGTTTTGGCCCAATTAAGGCTTTGGGGGTGGGGAGCGGCATGCAAGATCCTAGTTTCCTGACGGGAAGTCAAACCCAGGCCCCTTGTAGTGGAAATGCAGAGTTGGAACTACTGTGCTGCCACGAATTAGGAATTCCTAATTCATACTGTTTTAAGAGGGCTCTTGATGAGGCCTGGAGACAGCAGCACTTACTTCAATAGAAACTTTATTGAATACTAGGCCAGGCAAGTCCCTGATCAGCCAAGTTTGAACAGCACCTGCAGTGCATCTGCCCTCCCTATCTGGGCCAGGTGTGTGCCAAGCTGGCCCAGAGAGGCAGAGGGCTCCCTCGCCACCACCATCTCGATCAGAGCCCTCAGAGGCGAGCGACTGGGCCGCAATGAGTAGGCGAAAGTGGACCAGGTAGCAGGCAGTCCGTATCTTGCAGCCAGGTGTCGAGTGGTGCCACAGGCCATCCTCCCCCCTGGCCCAGGCTCAGGATCCAGCAGCAGGATCAGCTCCTCCAGCACCTCCAGCTCATCCAGGAGGCGAGACAGGGGCTGTGTCTCCAGGCTTGGCATCTCTGGGAGACAGAGTGAGGGGTGAGGGGGGAAGTGCAAGCTTCCAGTCCACCTCCCCATCCTTGGTGTATCCTCAACTAACCCCTGCCTAGGAGTGGAGGCAGAGAGACTTCCTTCCATGAGTCCCTTGCCTCTGAAGTCTCCAGGGAGGTTGGAGAGGAGGACTGCAAGAAGCGGGTGTGGGTGTCAAGGTCGGTGCAAACCAAGCTAGGATACGGGTGTTGGACTGCTTTCCCTTGGTTGAGGCGACGGTGATGCCTTTGCAGGGTAAGCAGGATTATGACTGAGATCACGATCAGAACCAGCACAAGGAACAGGGCAAAACTCAAACTCGGCAAGGCTTGCTGAGGGGCTTTGTGCTCAGAAGTCCACAAAACACTGGGAACCGCTGGTGAGCTGGGCTCCTGGGAGCTAAGGACGCTCGGTTTTCCAGGTGTCAGTGGGCAGGGCTCCTTGTTAGGGACAGACTTCTGGAAAACAAGGGGTTGGAATAAAGTGCGAGGCACGCTCTACTTCTGAATCCTCAGCACAAACCTCTCATCCTTACATCCTTCAATGGGTCCACATCCCCGCCTGATCCAGCCCCCGCCCCCCACAACCCGCGACTCCTTTAACCCAGGCAAGTTATCTTTGGATACCAGGGCCCCATCCCTACTCTCTTCAGTTAAGCTACTCCCCTTCCCTTAATAAGACCCCACCCATCCGACCCCAAGTCACGCCTCCAGTTCTCGCCCGGCTCCCTGAAGCTGCACACCTGACCAGGCCCTCTGAAACCTAACCAGTACCTCTTGGCAGGGCCGCCCTGTTCCGCCGCGGCTTCCCGAGGGAATGGGTGCCGTTGCTCCGCTGCCACAAAGGCTACATAGCTCCGCGCTGTTGCGATTGCACTGTCCAGGAGGACACTCTTTGAAGGGGTGCATTACGTGATTGCCAGCATCATCCAGCCCGCAGTTTTCCGAAAACTCTAGGTCTGGTGGGAGAGAGTCTCACGTGCTGTTGTCAAGCCGGCCTTCTTTGCGCTAGCTACGCCCTTTCATTTTTGCCCTATCCTAGCAGGCCCCGCCCCTTATACGGTACTCACCCAACCTATCAGCGGCCGTGCCACTTCTATCCCCGCCCCACACTATCTCAGGCAGCCTCCCAACCCTCTCTACCCAGGCCCCGCCCTTTAAATTGTCCCGCCCACTTCTTCCTCACTGTTCGGTTCCCGCCTAATGGGTCACACATATTCACCTTGACCCTCTTAACCCACACAGCTCCCTTCTTCTCAGGCTTAGCCCCCATCCTCACTTGTCTATGAACAACCCACCGCCCCTACCCCGAAGCAAGCCTCACAGGCCTTAGCACACAGACCTTGCCCCTCCCCTCCGCCCCCATCACCCTTTAACTCCGCCCGAACATATGCAAACGCCCAGTCCCGGCTCCTCACCCGGGCAGGGGGGCGGCCCGAAGCGCTGCAGGCAGCTGCCGCAGCACCGCTTGTCAGGGTTCCAGTACTCGAGGCGGCCGCAGTGCTGAGAGGCCTCCCAAGGCGCCGCCTGGGCCAGGAGCAGCACAACAGTCGGGAGGAGGCGTAGGGGCCCCATCCGGGCGGAGCCTGCAATCTGGGGGCCCCTGACCACACGACTTCCTGCCACAGCGCTTCTGCCGCACTTGCCAGGAAACCGGGGCAGAAGAAGGAAGCAGTGGATGTGGAGGCATAGGATCCTCAGTCCCCTTCAGAAGCCAAGAATCCATCCCCCAGCCCCTAGTCCAACTCCTGGCTGGTCATCAGAGAGGCCATAAGGCCCTGAGATGGCTAGAGCGAGGACTCTAGAGCCAGATTGCGTGGATTTATATCCTCTCTCTGCCATCTTCCTGCCCTCTTTTCCCATCTGTAAAATGGGATAATAATAGTAACCTGTCTCACAGGGTAACTGTGGAGAAGTAAAACTATGACTGAAAGTAAAGCATTTAGAACAGCATCTGGCATAGAATAACATTAAGTATTATGTACTACCTACTTCAATTGTGGGGCAGTGGGCATGGAGGACCTCACCCACTAGACACTCCCACCCAATGCCCAGCAACCTTACCTTAACTCCTAACCACAATCTCCTCCAGATTAGGAGTCCTCCAACCTGCTGCAACCAAGCATCTCCCTCGAGAGTCATCAGCCAGATGTGAAGTTTCCAGAACAAAGGCAGCCCCACTATCCAGTCCCACTGGGGATTTCTGGGACCCCGGGTGTTCTGCTTTTTCACCTGTTGTTGGAAGTTCCTTGGCTGAGGTTGTGGTCAGAGCCCAGCCCCGCTTCCCCTTTTCACCAGATGTGGGGGTGGAAGGAAATCAGCCTACAGCCATGCTCAAGCTAACAACAAGCTCTAAACCCTCAGTACAGAATTTTATTAGGGGAGGGGCAATAGAAGTTCCCTGTGTTGAAGGTGTTACATCATGGAGACACGGAGTCTGGAGAAGATGTCACTAGGAAGTTAAGGGAGCTTTGAAGAGGTGTCCTGGCCAGGAACATCTATGCCTGCCAAGGGTGGAGGGCAAGGGGGTCAGGGTCTCAGAAACGGCCATGCCGGTGGTCTGGGGACCGTCGTCGATTTCTTTCTCGGGGACGGTGGCCAGTATGGGACCTTGGGGGTGACCTGGGGACATAGAGAGGAGGGTTAGAGCCATAGGGAATAGTGTGCAAATCTACCAGTTCAGCCTCCCTGCTCTGGGATAAATCATGGCAATTGATGAAGTAAACAGTTACTGGGGGTGGCCTCAGGATAGGTGCACAGGGGCTAATCTCAGGACTGGAGATCCAGGATGGACTTGGGTTTGGGGTTCAGGCTGATTTAGGGGTATAGACTTAGATGCTGACCTTCAGATGGGGCTGAGGGCTAGTCTTAGGGCACAAAAGGCTTGAGACACTTATTGGGGCACAGGATCAGATCATCTCAGGGTTCGGGGGGCTTGGGGTATGAGAAGTCTTGGCAGGCTGGTCCTGAAATACCTGCGTCTGGGTCCCCGCCCGTAGAGCTGCCGCCGGAGGTCGCGGGAAATGGGTCGCAGGTGCATGAAGTTGCAGAAACCACCGCGGGTACACTCCCTGGGTAAAGGATAAATACATGGCTGAATGGATGGATGAGGCCACTGTCACTGACAGCCCCCTCAACACACAACAGAAGCCTGGGACTCCAGGTGCCCATCCCACTGCTGTACTACCATACCCCATCTCATACTGCCGACAGCACGACTCCCGGAAATCGGTGACGGGAGACAGCTCGGCATGCACAGCTTGCCCGTTGAACCAACGGTTATTGAGCTCAACCACTGCCCGCTCTGCATCTTCCTCGCGCCGAAACTGAGGAAAAGTCAGTCAGGGTGAGCAATCAAACTCAGAAATCTTCAGGGGATTAGTTAGCAGCTCAAGGGCTGCACTGCGTTTAGTGATGGACCTCAAGCTGTGAGGCTTCAGTGGTGACCTTTAGGCACTGAAATGCCTTCACTTCTGGGCTCTGGGGGGACAGCAGGCACCTTGACATAAACATTGCCCACGAGGTGATCCCCCAGGTTGTCGCACACATTCATCTCTTCGATCTCCCCGTACTTCTCCTGCAGTTCGGTGAACACTTCCTGTGGAAGATCAGGAGGAAATCAGCTGAGCTCCCGGCCCACGGGAAACTCAACCCACCCCCGCCAACCCTCACCTCGAAGAAGTTATCGTAGTGTTCTTGCACCTCCACGTCGCTCACGTGACCTGGAGGAGGGGGCAGGGTGGAATCAGGGGGCGGCCTGCTAGGGGCTGTCCGCCCTGCCCCCAACACCGGCCGCTTACTCACAGTGCGATCCGTCTGCGGTTTGGGCGGTGTTCTGTGGATTCCGATACAGGTTGAGCAGCACTATGGTCTGAACAGAATTTAAAAGGGGCTGGGCCTGAGCTCAGAGGGCGGGGTTATATGCGAAGGGGTGGGGTATGAAGGTTGAGGGTGAGACCTTGCAACAGAGAAAAACGCAGAACACCTTGCGTGCCTCAGCAACGCTTGCCCCTCTGAGAACCAGAAGAGGGGGTATCTAACTGTGAGGGATAGCCCAGGGGTGTGGTCTGTACGTACGGGGGCGTGGCCAAGTCCCTGGGAGAGGAGCCTGAAGGTTGGGGGAGGAACCTGTAGAGGTCCGACAAGAAAAAAACCGGGCGATAGGGTGGGCCCTAGAAATCCGGAAAAGGCGGGACCTCGTGATGATGGACAACAGAAGGGGAATGGCTGGGAGGCGTTAACCCCCCAGGCTCCGCGCCGGGTCTCACCTGGCTGAAAGTCGGCTTGTTGTGAAGCCGGGAGCACCGGTCCCCGTGCCGGCAGGCCCCGATCTTAAAGTAAAAAGAGCAGTTAACCCTGGAAGAGGTGCAAAGACAGAGGTGAACCGAGGGCCAGGAAGCTGGACACCCCAGAAACACCTACCCACGCCGCCCAGCCACCAGGTTACCAAGTGCCCCGTCCCCGGCCCCCCGAGGGGCCACTCCCTGCACCCATTCTCACTTGTCCTTCTCAGTCCCGAATATCGATGCTAAATATTCAGCCATTTTTACCCAAACCCTCCAACTCTGTCTGCTATTACGTCATTTCCGTTGCTTAAAAGCACTGGGAAGCGTAGTTCCCTGCCTCCGCTCAGAAACTCCCTAGTGCGCTTGCGTGATGGAGGCTCTCACTCTCCGCACGGGCTCATCCAGTAGAGTTGCCTGAAGGCGCATGCGCCCGGCGTTGCCTCACTAAAAAAGACTACAATTTCCAGAGATACTTGCGGCATCTCGCGCAAAAGTCCGTGGTTGAAAGTGGCAAAGGGGCCCAGACCGGAGGAAGTTAAGACTCCACTGGTGAGTCGAGGGTCGTTTCCGCACCTAAATAAACATAAAGAACGTCTCAACCCAGTCAGCTTGCTGGTGGGGGCAGGGGTGCCCTTCTTCCAGAAAATCCACCCTTCAGTTTCTCTCCGTTTTGTCGTAATAGGGGCGTGGTTGTTTGTGATCCTTGCATCTGTCACTTAGGGTCAGGACTTGGGTCTTGCCCCAGACCCTCGGAAGACCGGCCCTAGCGCAACTATGAACTTGGAGCGGGTGTCCAACGAGGAGAAGTTGAACCTCTGCCGGAAGTACTACCTGGGTAAGGGCCGGTATCCTAGGGTACCCGAAGCGAGGGGGCGGGACTAGAGCGCCTGATGGAAGAGGGTCTGGGGGCCTGGGTTCTTGGGTCCGGAGGATGAAGTGGCTGGGGATGCCGATTCTTCGGTCTCAAGAGAGGAAGGGCCTGAGTCTTGCTGAAGGAGCAGCCTGGGGCCTCAATTTCAGGTTCCCAAAAGAGAAGTGTTCCGGAGGCTGGACTCCTGGTTCTGACAAAGAGGTGGTGGAGGACTCGGATTCTTGACTCCCAGGGAGGAGCCAGGATTTCTGAGTCCCTGATAGCAGAGATATCCATTTCACTTAGGTTGTGGGAGAGGATCTTCCTACTGGACCTTTCAACAGGTGGGTATTGGGTGGATCCTCATTTCTTCATGTCCCAGTCTTTTTTCTTCTCTTCAGGTGGGTTTGCCTTCCTGCCTTTTCTCTGGTTGGTCAACATTTTCTGGTTCTTCCGAGAGGCCTTCATTGTCCCGGCATACACGGAGCAGAGCCAAATCAAAGGCTGTGAGTCCAGGGCACAGAGGAAGGGAGGCTATCAGGTGTAAGGAGGGGGACTCCAAAAGCCTTGGTGGGAGGGGATGACGTAGGTTAAAGAATCCTGGAACTTTGTGGAAGAGAAGAGAGGGCCGCTGTCAGGGAGACCCTAGCGCAGGTTGAGGCCAACCTTTCCCTTCCTGTTCCCTCCTGCAGATGTCTGGCGCTCAGCTGTGGGCTTCTTCTTGTGGGTGATTGTACTTTCCACCTGGATCACTATCTTCCAGATCTACCGGCCACGTTGGGGCGCCCTTGGGGACTACCTCTCCTTCACCATACCCCTGGGTACCCCCTGACAGCTTCTGTACAGGCCTGAGGACCAGGATGGGCTCCTCTACTCCAAGACCACTCTCCAGCCCTCAAGACTGGTTCCTGCCTCCCATGTTCTCTGCTGACATCTCCCAATAAAGGACCCTGATTCTCAATATTGACTTCCTGGGATCTTTTGGAGGTTGAAGGATAAGATGATTTGGCGGGGGGGGGGGGGCGCGGTTTGCCCGCCATGCACACACCTTGTGAAATTTTATTTTCCCAACTAGAGATTGAACCCAGGCCCTCTGGGCCCTTGGCAGTGAGAGCATGGAGTCCCAACCACTGGACTGCCAGGGAATTCCCTAAAATAATTATTAATATTCAGAAACGTTTATTGGTTGCTTACTTTGTATTAGGCTTAGTGCTTCAAACATGATGTGCATTAGTTTACTCATAACTCTCAAAAATCGGAAACTTCTTGCTTGGGAACCCTCTTTTACAGATTTGGAACCAAAAAAGGAATAGTACTTCCATGAGTAGGGGCTGTTATCCTGTACTGGTAGTATGTGAATTTGAAAATATTAACTTTTCCACTGGGCTTCATTCATTATTTTCATCGGAAGTGTGGATCACAATACTACCCCCTAGAATTTATCTGGGCCAAGGCACATGTGGTAAATGGAAGTTCCCCATTTTCTGAAGGAGACTGTCTGTAGCAATAAACAAGTATTCAATTGCTTTATTAGAGAAGTCTTCCTTAACTATCCTGTTTAAAGTTCCAGTTCCCCTCCTGGGTACTCCCCATGTCTCTTTCAGGCTATATTCTTTTTCCTATTACATTTCATTTAAAATGTTCTACTTGTTTATTGTTTATCTTCCATTCTCTATAAACTCATTAGGGCAAGGATTTTTATCGTTTTGTTCACTGCGGTGTCCCCAGTACCTAGAGAGAAGTACCTGGCACGCTAATATTCGCTAAGTGAATGAGGCTAAACTTGAAAAGAGATTAACAGGGAGCTAGCTGGCACCTAGCGAGTGCTCAGTAAGAGGGAGCCCCGCCTAACCCGATTTGTTTTCCTCTTAAGGATAAAGAGACTTCCACAGTTAAATAACTCCTGTTCAATAGCTAAACTGGTGTTACTCAAAGCTTCTAATTCTCCAAGTTCTAAGCAGCAGCCTCGCGATGCTCTGATCCTTCGTTTCCCACCGTGCGTTACTTCTACCGAGTCTCGGAAGTTAGAACCAAGTCCCAGGAAGGGCCCCGGAATGTCGTTGGTTTGTTTCCGGAAACCAGGCTCTAGGAAGGTGGGACTGAGAGCTGGGAGCCGACAACGGCAGCTATTAATTGGCCACGATATGGGATTGACGGTTGCACTGACTAATGGGAACAAGGAATTGCCGAGCGGGCCCGCCCACAGAAGGAACAGGAGGAGGTGGCGGCATCCGCGTCCGTCGCGGCCGGACACTGCTCCGGGCGGCGGACTGGCTACACTTGAAGCTTACCTTTGACCTCTCCCCGTCTGCCTCCGGCCTTGACTTGTGACTTTAGGCTCTTTTGGGCTCCTCTGGCCCAGCTAGCCAGATCCCAGACCCCAACCATGTTCCCGGTGAAGGTGAAAGTGGAGAAATCAGGTGAGGATCCCGAGGTTGGGGCCAGGTAAGGGAGCACCGGACTGATCAGGGTAAGGGAGCCCCATTAGACAGGATTATCGCGATAAGGTGGCCTGCGTGACTTCTCCCTGCAGCCCATGTGACTACCGCTGTCAGGCATCGATCGAGCGATTCCGGCCACCTTGATACCCTCCCAATCTGTGTTCAGGATAGCTTGGAGGCTGAATGGTGGTGGTCTGGCAGTGTGATGCGGTCAGACCTGGGGAACCCGAACCATGCGACTCCAAGAAGGACTCTTTTCTTGGCTCTGCCTCCATTTCCCCCTTTCCAGCAGTGGTCTTGAGTCAAGCATTATACTGATCACCTGAAGTACAGGAAAGCTTTTAATCTTTGCAGTCACTGTATCCCAATAATCCTAGGGGATTAATAATTACTACTTCCTAGGAAGTAGGAGATATAGATGGGGAAACTGAAGCTGAGAGAGAGGAAGTCATTCTGGTTTGGGGCCAAGCTGATGGGAACCCAGGGCTAGCTTGTTAAGGGTGGTGGGAGAGACCTGGAATCCAGACCAAGTGAAATGACATGAGATAGTAAATGCTATAAGTGGTCAAAAAGAAAAAGAAAAAAAACAGGAGAAGGTAAAGAGATCAGGAGTGAGGCAAGGTGAGGGAGAGAGTGATAAGTGAGGGAACAGCAAATCTGACAAAGGAAATAGCTTTGAAATGGCAGAGAAGTGAAAGATTTCTCTGGCATGTTCAAGGGCCAGCAGGAAGGCCAGAGTGGCTGGAGCAGATCAAGTGAAGTGAGGTAGAAAGGTGTGGAGATGAGGGCAAAGAGGGGAAGGAGGGGGGCAGATCTTGTGGGCCCAGGTTATGACTTTGGCTTTTGCTCCAAGGGCAGTGGGGAGCCAAGGGAGGCTTTTGAACCACAGAGGAAGTTTTTACAAGATGCCCCCTCCAACTGCCAAAAAATGCCCCAAAAATCGTGGGTGGAAGAGTGAAGGGGGCCTGACCGCAAATGAGGGTGTTGAGGAAGGAGTAAGGCAGGGTCATGGAAGCCTGTGAACACCAGGCTGACCACTAGGACTCAGAGGGCACTGCAGAGTTCTGGAGGGTTCTAAGCAGGGAAGGATCGGGGTCAGGTTTGGCTTTAGGAAGATTCCCCTGGCTACCTTGAGGAGGGTGATTCAGAAGGGGAGACCGAGGCTGGGGGCCCAGGGGGAGGAAGGGACACGACAGACAGACCAGGGAGGTTGCAGAGGGGAGAGCCCCTCAGGAGACAAGTAGACAGGTTATGGGGTGGGAGGGGAAGGGAGACCAGTGACCATGTTGAGACCGAGAAAAGGACTGGGTAACAGTGGGGATATCCCTGACATGGCGGTCCAGGAAAAAAGGATACATTTAGAGAGACACTGAGGCCAGTGTGGGACCCAGTCCGTGGAAGGAGCCTGGGGAATGTCCAGGGGGAAGTGTCCAGGAGTCCATGGGATCCCAAGATCTGAGGTTCAGGAGAGAAGCAGGGACTGGGGAAAGACATTGGGCGTGATCCATACCTTGGCTCCTACCCAAGGCTCTTTGCTAGAGAATCTCAGCTGCTCCAAGCCCCACATCCCCACCCTGTCTCCTCTGAGTAATGTCTCCTGGCCTCTTCAGGAAATCTCAGTGCTGGCTAGTCATGTCCCCAAGCGTCCTTCCGGGCTCTGAGCACTGGGTCAGAGCTCCTATTAGTTGGAAGAGAAGAATGAACACCCCACAAGAAATGTAAGGAGATTTATAACATTATCATCCATAAGTTCTGTGATGAAAAGAGGCAAACACACAGGTTCTTAGAGCCAGGCTGGGCCTGCGGCGTGCAGGGAGATGGGCCCAGAGCTCATTTCCTGAGGGAAAAAAGCCCAAAATGTGTATTTTAGGTGAAATCTCCCAACTATTCAAATGTAATCATCTCATTCAGATTTAACACAGATTTGAATTAACCTCATTACCTCAGCCAAACAAAGTGCATCCTGGGGCTGGATTCTGCACCCACTTTGAGCCCCTGCCTTATAATGTTCACTGTGGAGCCAAATGACCTGGTGTACATCTTCAGCCTTTCAATTTTCTAGCTGTGTAACTTTGGGCAAGTAGCCTATTCTCTCTGTGCCTCAGTTTCATCATCTCTGAAATGGGGGCAAAAATCGTATCCACCTGCCAGAGTTGTTGTAAAAACTCAATGGGTTGATAGACGTGATGTGCCTGGAACAATGCTTGGCACATAATAAGCTTTCATATACAGCATAGGTTTATTTAAACCTCAAAACACTCCTAGCAATAGATATCATTTGGAGACCCATTTTCAAGATGAGGAAACAGGCTCAGTGAGGTAAGGTGATTCACCTTAGATCACACATGAGCATGTGGGTCAGCCCTGGAAGCCAGAGCTCTTACTCTTTAGTAGGCTCTGCCCACTGTACCCTCCCAGCACGCCTGGCCCCGCCAAACGATTGGACATGCATGCCCTTCCCTGGTCCAGCAGCTGCCCACCTGGCTTGGGCCTGGGAAGTGACTCCTGCTTGGTACCCTCCCTCTTCCCCAGAGTTGGAGATGGCCAAGGCCCGGAACCAACTGGATGCTGTTCTGCAGTGTCTGCTAGAGAAGAGTCATATGGACAGGTTGGGATCTGACCCAGGACAGGGTCACGGGAAGTTGGGGGCCCTGGCGGGTGGGACCCTCTGGCTGCGGGTGGGACCCCAGAGACTGACTTAGGAAGGAAGGGGCCCAATGGATGAGGCCACTGGGTACTTTCCCACCCTGGGCCCTGGGAACCCTGAGCATGCAGTTCTCTTCTGCTACCAGGGAGCGTCTGGATGAGGAACCTGGGAAGACCTCCTCAGACACCCACAACAAGTAAGTTTTATTGATGGGATCTGTGTCTGAGGGTTTGTGGTAGATAACTTCTTTCCTCATCTGAGCCCTGACCCCCCTGCCCCGTGCTTTCTCCATCAGAGTCTTAACCATTCTTCATATACAAAAGCCCTGGAGCAGCAGAAGCTTAGGTCCCCTGATGATGGCATGTCAGCCCGCAAGGGGTGGGACCCAAGGCCTCAGGGTTTGGTGGGATCTCTATGAGCTCAATCACAGTACCCCCAGGGTGCTCTTTGAGGGGTTGTGAGCAGACATTCGTTCAAGGGCAAGCCTGCTGACACCCTGTCTCTCCCCACAGGGATTGTTCCATCACGGCCACTGGCAAACGGTAAGGTGGCAGGGGCCCCACCAGCGGATGAGAGGTCCCTAGTCCCCACCCCAGTGCTGATGTACTCCCTCCCCGCACAGGCCATCTGCCCGATTCCCGCACCAGCGGCGGAAAAAGAGGAGGGAGATGGATGAGGGGCTGGCCGAGGGAGGGCCACAGCGATCCAGTGAGTAGGCGGTGGCCCTCGAGGGAGGGCAGTGATTGGGGGGGCTAGGCAAGGATGTTCATACCCTTCCCACTTGCCCCATCCTAGACACCTATGTGATCAAGCTGTTTGACCGGAGTGTGGACTTGGCTCAGTTCAGTGAGAACACACCACTGTACCCCATCTGCCGAGCCTGGATGCGCAACAGCCCCACAGTGCGCGAGCGTGAACGCTCACCCAGCTCGCCGCTGCCCCCCCTGCCTGAGGATGAGGAGGTGAGATGGGTGGGGGGTTCCCGCCCAGCAGCCAGGGAGTACAGTGGGTAGGCAGTCACAAGGTACCCTTCCTGGCAGACAAGCACACCAGTGAATCTCACCTGAATCTGGTGAGGCACACAGATAGGAACCCTTAGGCCAGGGCAAAGGTTGGAGTGTCCTAGAGCAGACAGACATGGCTTTCTGGTATGAGAGGCAGAGAAGACAGGGTCCCGGGGTAAATAGATGTGCCCTCCAAGATCAGAAGTCACCAAGAGCTGAGGGACTGGGCAGGGGTCCTTAGGGCAACCAGGTACAGCCACCTGGTCTAGGGGAGCAGATGGCAACCCCTTGGGCTAGGAATGGAGGTCTCCATAGATGGAGGTCTCTATGCTGGGCAGGAGTGACCAGGGTTCCCTGGGTTGGACAGGGGTCCTTGGAGCAGACACATGACTCCTAAGTACAAGTCCCTGGAGAAACCTTCATGTCTTTTGTTGCTGGGGAAGGTGTGAAATGTGTGCCCCTGACTCTCCTGGGCCTGGTGTGGCGTCCTTGTATCCCCAGGGTTCCGAGGTCACCAACAGCAAGAGTCGTGACGTGTATAAGCTGCCTCCACCCACAGCTTCCGGGCCACCTGGAGATGCCTGCAGATCCCGAATTCCATCCCCATTGCAGCCTGAGACCCAGGGTACCCCTGATGATGAGGTGAGTATGCTGGGCTGGCTCAGGGCCATGGGGCAGGTGGTGTTGGTTGTGATCGTGGTCACCCAGCCTGGCCTCTCTGTCATACAGCCCTCCGAGCCTGAGCCCTCACCCTCCACCCTCATCTACCGTAACATGCAGCGCTGGAAACGCATCCGCCAGAGGTGAGCATCCCCCTACCAGCTTGTTCTCCACAGCCTCTGCTCCAACTGCTGAGTCCTCCCTCTGCCTTCCCCCCACCCCCACTGCAGGTGGAAGGAGGCATCTCATCGGAACCAGCTTCGTTACTCAGAAAGCATGAAGATCCTACGGGAGATGTACGAGCGACAGTGATGTTCCCCTGTCCCCACCCCCATCGCAATAAACATTCCCCTCCTCCACAATGGTCTCCATTTGCTACAGCCTATCCTTCCTTGATCAGACATAAAGCAGTTGGCATAGCTCTAGCACATTTATTGGGGGAGTGGGCCTAGGTGGGGGGATGGGGCATCAGGGAATTTGAGGAGGGAGAAAGATTATAGGGAGTTAAAGAAAGTGGCTGCTTGGTTGGGTCTTGGAGAATAAGGGGAGGGGTGGTGTGGTTGGAGATTTGGGGGGTCAAAACAGAGTGACTGAGGAGTTCTGGATAGTGTGGGATATCTGTGCAGACTCTGGGGAGGAGGGATGGGTATCTATACAGTTTGAGGTTGAGGGTTCTGGTTGGCTTAGAATAGGGGTACACGGGTAGGATCAGAAAAGGGGTTCAAGGAGCTGGGAGTGGCTGGCTGAGGTTTCAGGTTAGAAAATGGGTTGGAGGGAGAGGGTGAGGAGAAGTGGTGTATCTGGTTGGAATGAGGGGAAGGATCCAGTCTTGGGGACCAGGCCAGGATGGTCCAGGGTAGGAGGTCTGTGCAGGGTCTTGGACATCTGAGAAGAGGGGATTATGCTTGACTGGCCTAGGGTGGGGGCAGGGCTGTCTACACCATAATCTTTGGTGGTGTGTGGGATTGAAATGGGGTGAGGGGATGTTTTCCTAGAAAAGTCAAACGGAAATAGGGAGTTTGAAGTGGGGTTATATGCCAAGTGGTGTTGGTGGGGATGAGAGACTAGCTGAGGGATTGTGCTTGTAGGGTCTGAAAGTTAGAGAGGTGTCTGGAGATTTGAAAGTACGAGAGGGTGTGAGAACCGGAGTGTCAGTGGAAAGTAAGTTATCAGGGATGAGTAGGTTGGAAGGTTCAAGGCAGATCCCAGACTGGGTGGGCGGATAGTCTTGGCGCGCGCTGGGGACATCTGGTTGGGCGGAGTCAGGTAGGCTTTAAAAGGGCAGGGGCGCTGAGGCGGCTCCCAGGGTTCACGTGTGCCCTGACCCCTACTTGGCAGCCGCCCCGGGCGGCGACTGCAGTGGGGCCTGGGCCGGCGCAGGTGCGGCCTGGATGGAAAGGACGCCCTCGGGGGACAGCGCGGACGTCACGGCCGCAGGGTCCACGCCAGGCGGCAAGCGGTAGCGGCGGTGGAACTCGCGCGCAATGTATCCGTGCTCATCCTGGAGGGAGAGAGGCTTGAGAGGCTCCGCCAGGTTCCCGTAGGTGCCCCGCCCCTCCCGCCTGCGGATCCCGCCTACTCGTTCTGGCCCCGCCCTGCGGATCCCGCCTACTCGTTCTGGCCCCGCCCCCGCCAGCGGGCTCACCGGGCGCTCCTCGTGGCGCGCATGAACCTCCACGTGGTCACCAACCACCTTGACGGCAATTTCCTCGGGTGAGAAGTGTTTCACATCCAGCAGCACCGAGAAATGCCCGGGGTCGGTCGATACCTGCGCACAACCTGATGGTCATCGGGCGGAGCGCGGCTCTCGCGGCCCAGCAAGGCCCCTCCCCTCGGCTCCCCTTCAGCCTATCCTGGCCTCCGGAACTGGGGCGTCCCCTTTCCCACTCTTAGCCCCCGAGGACCTCTTTACCCAGAATAACTAGCATCATCCCTCCCCCTGTAGCCACTGGGGTTCCCCCCTCATCCAGGGTGATGAGGGCCCATCCCTTGCCCTCCAAAGTCAGGGACAGCTGCCCTCACAGGGGAGGCCTGCCGGCTCCCCCAGAGTCAACAGCCTCGTAGTCCGTGTATCCTCCTGGGCACTGACTCCTCAGCCCCCTTCCCCTCAGAGCCCCTGGGGCCCTTACTGCTCCACCTCCGCCAGAAATCGCCAAGAAGCCTCCTCCCCGAGTCTCCAGAGTCCTCTTTCTACCCTCCCGCTCGAGTTACGAGATTGCTTGAGCCCTCAGCAGTTATTAGTACTCCTCCCCCTCTTCTGAGTGTCCAGACCCCCCTTTCTCAAGTTGCAGGACCCTCCTTCCCCTCTGCCTCTCCATGAGACACACACAAGTCACCACCCACAGTCCCCAAACTCTCTTCCTCAAGAATAACAAAAAAATTCCCTCCCCCCGCCCCCGGAATCACTGGGAGCCCCACGCCTTTCAGAATGACTGGGCTCCCCCTTTCCACCAGATTCCGTGGGCCCCCAGCCTCCTTCAGAATCACCAAGACACCCCTTCAGAGTGAGCGTCCCCACCCTATTAGGGACCCAGCCCTTACACTCCTCTGGGACTTGAGACCCTCCTCACACCGACTGGGCCCTCCCACCCGATTCAGGAAAACGACCTCTGAGAATCCATGCTCAGGGAATTCCGGAAGCCCCTCTGAGTGGCCGGCCGGACTCTCCACCCCGCTCAAAGTCAAGGGACTTTCCTTTACCCCCCTCAGGGTGACCGAGTACCCCAGCCTCGGAAGCAGTTGGGTTACCGCCCCTCCCCCAGGTCTGGCACCTGGGCGGTAGGCAGCGCCACGCTGGGTGCGCGCAGGTAGTAGGGGGCCAGCGCGGCAGGGCAGAGCGCAGCCAGCTCGGCCTCCAGCAGCCCCTCGCCGAAGCGCTGGTCGAAGAGGCGCCCGGGAGCCGACAGCCCAGGCAAAGGGGCCGAGGCGCGGCGCAGCCAAGACGGCTGAACAGGCACCGGGATCTCCATTCTGCTCCGCCGTAGCCCTAGGCTCCGCAGTGCTCCAGCGAGGGCTGCCGCTGCTTTATAATACGCCCTGTGTCCGCCCCTCGGCGGGCCGCCCGGGGACATTGGGACCGCGGCCAGAGCCGGCCATTAATAGAGCCTTATTTAGACAGCCCAACAATGACTTGGCCATTTATTAAGCGCCTGCTGGATGCCAGCGAGGTATCATTCCCTAATTTCCCGAAAGAAAAACTAAGGCTGAGGAGGCGGTGCCTTGCCAAAGTGGGGTGCAAGCGTGGCGTTTGGGACCTACAGCCTGAAAAACCCACCAAAGAATTCCCAGTCCCTTTAATCCACCCCCGCCCCGAAGGTGCTCTGAGGATGACGCAGATGCCGGTCTTGGGAGATTTCTGGGTAGAGGGAATGCTGTAGCTGGGCCAGGCTGTCAGGAGGACACAGAACAGACCCTATTCCCATTTGAGCAGGGCCCTGGACCCAACCCCTGTCAAGCCGGGCCTAATTCTGTGCGTCTGACTCAGCCTCGGGTGCGCAGGACAGCGGGGTCTGCCAGGTGAGCAGCAGCCAGGGCGCGCGGGCAAGAACAGTCCAGGCTGGCCCCCCGGGGGCCGCACGCTGGGGCCCGAAATAGCTCGTTATGATCCAGCCACCTCGGCCGGGAGCCCAGGCTTGGCACTTGGAGCAACCAGCTGCTCCTGGAGCAAGACGGAAGTGGTTAGAAGATCGGGGGCGGGGGGGCGGGGGGGGGGGGGGCTAGTAGACTTCTGGACTGATGAAGGGACGGCGGTTAGAGAGTGGGTAGGCTCCCTGATGGCCCCTGCAACGGGAAAATCCGTAGTTAGATTGGAATCTGGATGAGATTTAGACAGCAAGAGGGGGAGTGGTTACACATCTACAGCAAAGAGAGTGCATTGGAACCTCCTCCTAACTGCGGGCCCAGCCTCGGATCCTTTCCATTGGTCCATGGGCTTGCCAATTACTGCATCTCGCTACCGTTCCCCAATCAAACATGCCCTCTCATTCCCGTTACAGCCAATTGTGAGACACCTCCCTTTGGCCATTGTCCAATTACTTTTATTTTCCTCTCTATCATTGGTCGCCTTAGAGACCGCTCTCTTCCCGCGCCGGCAGTCCCAAAGAGGGGCGGGGTTATAGGGTATTGCTAAGCGACAAAGATGCGCTCCGGGTGAGTCCCGTGACCGAGCAGAGCAGGCGGAATCGGCGAGGTAGCTGCAGGATGGACCGGAGGTGATGGATTACAGGAGGCCTGGGGAGGATCAAGGGTGAGAGTCACACAGCCTAAGATCAGGTTTGCTACGGTCCGGAGTCAAGTGTGCTCAACCGTACTGGAACTACAACTCCCAAGATGCTCCCCAGCCTTAAGCGGCTCCGACCTTGGACTTTACCACTCCGGGGGTTCCATAACGTTTTACGTTCCGCTCTCTAAGTGGCCCTAAGAGCTTTTTTTTTTTTCCTCTAAAAGTGTCCGGGGGCACCTTGGGAATTAAGATTCGTAATTTTGAATTTGCTCCCAGACTGTCACGGGTGTCTTGCTTAGGCGGAGCCCAGTGACTATAGGAATTGTAATCCATCTACCCCTCTCCTTAGTGTCCCAAGGACTTATGGGAAATATACTGTGATAGGGTTTAGCCTTGGCTCTTCTCCTGACCTCCACTTCAGGATCACCTGGAGCTCTGCGAAACAGATGTATGTAGATGCCCAGCTCCCCTTCCAGACATTCTGATTCTTTTGATCTTGGGTGAGGATCACGCCTCTGTATTTTTAAAAGACTCTTCTTAGACTGGATCCAGGGTTACGAATCACCAACCAACAGTTCCCGGGTTCTCTTTTGAGACTGCTCCAAGGATTGGTGGGAATCGCGCCTCCAGTGTTATTATCTTGAATGTATGGTGGTGCTTCATGGAAATTATAGTTCGTCTCTTCCAGGATTCCGTGGGAACCGTAGTGTGGTTTGAAGCCACTACTGGCCATCCTGAAGCCAGACCTGGCACCCCCAGGTGAGGACACCCCACAGAGAGTGCTGTGTGCCAGCCAGTAACAAGGGAGTGGCGACTAGAGGGAAGGAAGACGTGATGAGAGATGGGGGTGAGAGATTAAAAGACGGCCTCTCCTCTCTTCCCCATGGCCTTGCCCTTGTCCTCCACCACCTAAATCCCTTGTCACCTCCCCAGTCACTCTGAGTTGTTGCCATTGTGAGATGTGTTTCCTCCCCTCTGGACTGAGACTTCGTATGTGTCTTCGTTTCCCTACAGGAATGACTCCTCAGCCTCACTTTTCCTTCTCTTCACCTCCTCTGTCTTAGACCCTGAGCCCATCCAGATCCCAGAGATCCAGACTTCCAGAAGCTTCCAAGGCTCTGGCCACAGGCCCCAGCTCCCCTGAGCTCTTTGAGGAATCCTGGCCATCCAGCTCAGGGACCCCTTCCCCACCCAGCAGCACTGAGGGCCAGGTGAGAGCCTCTCCACCACCCACCGTGACTGACAGCGGGGACTCCGTGGTGGCCAAGTAAGTTCCAGTAGCTCTCAGGGAAAAGAGGTGTTTGGATCAGTGTGAGGGGGCAGACATAATAATCATCCTAGCCAGAGCTGCACTTTTAGGACCATGCTTCATTCATGTTACCAAGCACTCTGAAGCTAGGTTCAAATCCAGGCTTTATCACTGTACAATCCTGGCCTCAGTTTCTTCAGCTATAAATTGAGGATATTAATAACACACATGTTCTGGGTCTGTTTTAAGTTTTCAATGAATTACTATCAGTACTGCATCTGTAACAAACAATAGTGAGCCACATAGTGAGTACTTGGATTTGTAGGATCCAAGTTCAGCTGCTATAACAAGGAGTCCCAAATGAATCATGCCTTAAACAAGAGTGTTTATCAATATGTCTCCCTCACCTAACAGTCCAGGCAGAAGCAACCAGGGCTGATATGGCAGCCCCTAACTGAGGTGTCAGAGACACAATTTCCTTCTCTCTTGTTGCTCTCCCTTCCCTAGGCTGTTAGCCTTTCCTTCATGGCCCATAATGGCTCCCAGCCACATCCACTTTCCAGAATTGCATCTTGTGGTCAGGAATATACATGGCCATAAAGTGGCAAGGGCATCTGGCAAATGTATTTATAGAAGAGTGGCTATGTGCCCAGGGTTATATCATCTTACATAATATTGCATTACTGTATAAGAAAGGAGAACAGATGCTGAGGATCAACTACCAAGTGTTGCTATGGTACTACATATACATTGACTCTTGTGATTATTATTGTTATTATTATTGGGTGCTCCTCATCCCACCCACCTCCCAATTCTCTGATGCTCACAGGTACATAAACCGGTTCCGACAGGCTCAGCCCACAAGCCGAGAAGAACGCCAGTCTGCAGGCCCAACTCCAGCTGACTTTTGGTGGCTGCAGCCTAAATCTTCAGACCCTGGCAGTCAACTTGCAGCAGGTACCTGCTTCAGTCTCATCTCCTCCTGAGCAATACCCCCAGCAGCTCCTCTGCCTGCCCCCCACTAAATCAACTGGGGCATCTCAGCAGGAGCCCGTGAACCAGAAGGAAGACCCAACACAGCAGTCCTGACTCATGCTAAGATGGCCAGTGCATCGAAGGCTAAGGCTATGGCACCCCTTCAGGAAATAAAGCAGGTGACACTGCCACCCACTTTTTTCCCTCCATGCCTGGAATGATAGCACCAGCCCTGAGGTAGAACTAGAGTCAGAAATTCCCTGGTGATCTAGTGGTTAAGACTCTCCACTTCCAATGCAGGGTGCGCAGGTTCAACCCTTGGTCAGGAAATTAGATCCTATATGCCGCTGCATGGCTTAGCCAAAAAAGGAGAAGGAAAAAAACCAAACAAACATGTAGTTAGCATTAGAGTCAACCCCCAATTCAAGGAAGCCTAAACAAAAAAGGGAGGCTTTGTTAGTGCAATCAAGAAATCCAAAACTAGATGCTTTTGGGCATAGCTGAATCCAGGTGATTGAACAATATTGGGAGGAACTCAACTCGAATGGCTTTCAGTTCCTCCTTGTTTGGCTCAATCTCAGGTAGGATTTCCCCTCAAAATAGCTAAGATGTCTCCAGTAGCTGTAGGCGTCTGATATACTTGATTACTCCAGTGAAAAGAAAAAGCTTTTCCAATAGCTCCATCCAAAGCCCCAGGACTTACTCTCATTCGATCATCTCTGGCCAGGCACCGTGAACTGGCAGACAGAACACTGTGACTAGCCAGGCCTGATCAGGAAAGTAGGGTCAACCCTTCTGCTATAGCAATGACTGCACTGAGGGTTATGGATCCACAGAGGGATCTGTCTGTCTTCCCTAAAGAGGAGGAGCAGATTGTCAGCCAGCATGTGAGGGTGCCAGGTGGAAGGTAGACCTGCATTCAGGCCCTCTGTCCAGAGCCCCTCTCCCAGAAGCCTTTGCGATGGGGCTGGCCTCTGACCCCTCTCACCTCACAGAGTCTCAACACATGGAACTCATCCCTGCTGGACTTGGAGACACTGAGCTTGCAAAGCAGAGCTGCCAGGCTGCTCAAACGCAGGTGCCTCTCCCGCCCGCATCATCCTCCCCAGTCCTCCCTCTCTGGGCCCAGGCCGCTGCCTCTGAGACCCCTGTGGCCTCACTTCTGCCTTCTCCCTCCAGCACGGCCTCCATCTCCTCCACCTCCTCGCTCAGCCCCAGCGATGGCGGCAGCTCCTCATTCCCCGTCAGCTCTGCTGGCCTCTCTCCCTTCTCCATGACCTTCACTCCTGACTCCATCAAGGACCCTGACCTCAAGGCACAAGGTAAGTTCTGGGAGGCGAGGATGAGGGCAGTCTGGGTGCAAATTCCAACGTTTCAACTTACCGCGCTGTGACCTTGGGCTTCTCTGCGCCTTGTTGACCCAACTGCAGGACAGGGATAATAACTGTATTCCCCTGCTGTAGGTGTCATGAGGATTAAAAAGAGTTGGCGAACACATATAGCACGTAGCATGGCTCCGTTAACAGTACCTATCATGGGAGGACTTCCTGGTGGTCCAGTGGTTAAGACTCCACACTGCCAATGCAGGGGGTGCGGTTTCAGCCCCTGATCAGGGAACTGAGATCCCGCATGCTATGAGCCGTGGCCAAAAAATTAAGGAAGCATACACAGTAGCTCCCATGAGTATGCAATTTCTCTCTGCATCCTGTCTGCAGTTATGAACACGAAGCTCCAAAATCAGAAGGCTTGTTGCAAATTTGGCACCACAGCTGATTTGGCAGCAAAATTTGACCTAAACAATATGAAGAGTATTTATATATCTATCTCATTTAGGATGAAGTCATCCTTTTTTATTGAGGCATAGTTGATTGACAATATTCTATTTGTTTAAGGTGGACGACATAGTAATTCAAATGTTTAGAGATTATACTCCATTTGAAGTTATTTGTGGAGATGGTGATTTAGTGACCAACTGTAGCCCACCAGGCTCCCCTGCCCATGGGATTTCCCAGGCAAGAATACTGGAGTGGGTTGCCATTTCCTTCTCCAGGGGATCCTCCCAACTCAGGAATAGAATCCATGTCTCCTGCATTGCAGGCAGATTCTTTATCACTTGGCCACCAGGGAAGCTCTTAACGTTATTAGATTAGCCAAAAAGTTCATTTGGTTAGTGACTACATTATTCTCTTTTATTTTCACTTAAAACCAAACAAATTTTTTGGCCAACTCTATATTCTAAAAGATTGGCTATCTTCCCTGTGCTCCACAATATATCTTTGTAGCCTATTTATTTTATACACAGTAGTTTTTATCTCTTATCCCTTGTCCCTATCCTACCCCTCCCCTGCTTGCCTCTCGCCTAACCACTAGTTTGTTCCCTATATCTGTGAGTCAGTTTGTTTTGTTATATTCATTTGTTTTATTCTTTCAATTCTACATATAAGTGATAAAATATGGTATTCATCTTTCTCTGTCTGACTTATTTCACTAAGCATAATATCTTCACCCCACCCCAGAAAAGAACCATTTGTGTTGTTGCAAATGGTAGAATTTCATTCTTTTTTAATGGATAATATTCCATTGTATATATATATACCACATCTTCTTTATCCATTCATCTGTTGATGAACACCAAAGTTGCTTCTGTATTATAGCTATTGTAAATAATGCTGCTGTTGGGGTGCATGTATCTTTCCAAATTACTGTTTTAATTTTCTTCAGATATATACCCAGGAGTGGAATTGCTGGATTGTATGATAGTTCTATTTTTAGTTTTTTGAGGAATCTCCATGCTGTTTTCCATAGGAGCTGTACCAATTTAAACACATTCCCATAAACACTGTACAAGTGTTCCCTTTTTTCCACATCTTTGCCAGCATTTGTTATTTGTGGTCTTTTTGATGATAGCCATTTTGACAGATGTGAGGTGATTATCTCATTGTGGTTTTGATTTGCATTTCTCTGATAAGTAGTAATGTTGAGCATCTTTTAATGTGCCTGTTGGCCATCTGTCTTATTTGGAAAAGTGTCTGTTCAGGTCTTCTGCCCATCTTTTTTTTTTTTTTTTTTAAAAACAAAACATTTTTATTTCGTCCATCCGAGCCTGAGTCTGGAAATACCCACGGAGTCATCCTATGGGGATGGCGCTGACGTTGATAAAATAGTCTCTGCATCAGAAGAGCTGCCATATGTACAGGGCTAAAATTAGTCATAGCTCAGAGTAAGAGGAGGAATACAAAGTGAGGTGGGGGGTGTTGTCTAGTGCTTCTCCAGATGTGAGCCTGCTTCCACCTGCACCAACGCCCCCTCCCCCCCACCACGGCCACAAGCCCCGTGGAAAGCCAGGGACCATGGGCAGGGTCGCTTGCCATTGGGGGCTGCTGGGCAGCGAGCCCAGGCACCCAGGAAGTGGCCTCAGTTGTCCTCAGGCAGATTCTACCCATCTTTTAATTAAGTTTTTTTTTATGTTAAGTTGTATGAGCTATTAATCCCTTGTCAGTCATATCACTTGCAAATGTTTTCTCCCATTCAATAGGTTGTCTTTTTGTTTTGTTGATTGTTTCCTTTGCTGTACAAAAGCTTTTAAGTTTAACTGGGTCCCACTCATTTATTTTTGTTTTTGTTTCCTTTGCCTTAGGAGATAGATCTACAAAAATATTGCTATGCCATGCCTATGTTTTCTTCTAGGAGTTTTATGGCTCAGATCTTACATTTATGTCTTTAATCCATCTTGAGTTTATTTTTGTATGTGGTGGGAGAAAATGTTCTAATATTCTCTTACATGTAGCTGTCCAGTTTTCCTAGCAGAACTTATTGAAGAAACTGTCCTTTCTCCATTGTATATTTTTGCCTCCTTTGTTGTAGATTAACTGACCATGTAGATTAACTCCATTTCTTAGTGCTTTGATCTATTCTATTCATCTGTGCCTGTTTTTGTGCCAGTACCATACTGTTTTGATTACTGTGGCTTTGTAGTATAGTCTGAAGTCAGGGAGTAAATATTCATACTACTATGAATCTTATGAAATTTTTGTCTTTGTAAGTAAAAAATGGTTGAATAATGGCAATTTCATACTGTTCAACTATATACCATTGTGTTTGATTCTGATGTTCTGGCCCAGACCCCTGTCAACCCTGTACATACCTAGCAACTTTACTAAAACATGCAAAGTGTTGAACTCTCAAATTTCTGCCCCCAAGATTTCAGAGGTTGGGTTAAAGACGTGGGTTACTATTTCTGTCATCACTGTTGTTACTATTACTCTGTGCCCCAGTTCCTGGGATGCAGTGGTAGCCAGGAAAGATTCTCTGCATATCTCATGGGACTCCAATGAGTGGGGACAGGCAAGCAGAGAGAACAGAGTGCTATTTGTGTATGTTGAGTGATCTTGCCCAAGTCCTCCCCTGATTCTTTGATCCTTCCAAGCTTCTCTTTTTATTCACTTCTCCTTCCTGATCCTCAGTTTCCTCATCTGTAAAATAGGGATAAACCTACTACATACTTCATAAGTTTTTTGCAGAGTAAATGTATGTATTCTTTTATGTAACACACATTGAATACATGTTGTGTGTGAAGCCTGTGCTCGAGATTGGGGATTCCTTAGTGAACCAACCATACATGGTCTCACCTTCATGGTCCTTACAGAATAGTGAGTGTGGGGCACAGAATACCTGCATAACTCCACAAACAAATATAAGTAGAAATGAGGGTCATGCAGGAAAGACTTGTGATACTGGGACATCAGAGAAGGCCTTCCTGGAAGAGGTAGACCTGAATGATGAAAGTGAGGACTATAGCCCTGTAGCCTGTACAAAGGACCTGAGGTGGGAGGGAGCACAATGCAGATAATGAATAAAAAAAGGCAAGAACCAGGGGTAAGGGTAGTGTGAGATAAGGTGGAAGATATTGGCAGGGGTCAGATTACATGGGGCTGCATAGCCATGTGAGGCATTTGGTCATGATCTACTGGGGAGCCACAGGAGGGTTGTGAGCAAGGCAGGGACAAGATCTTTACCAGGTGTTAGCAAACTCCCTGTGGCTGCTATGAATACCTGGTGAGAGACAGACTCTGGTAGTTTGGGTTGGGCCAGAGCCTGAGGAGCAGAGTAGAGGGAAGTGGCCAGGTCTGGAAGTAGAATCACAGGATATAGAGGGGAGGGGAGGAGAGGTCCCGGATGCTGTTCCCTACCCTGCTTCCTCTTCTCTGTGCAGCATTAGTAGGTAGGGCTTCTGAGACAGAATGATTGCAATACTGATCATGACTCATGCAATGATGCCCTGGGTGATGGGAAATGATCCCCTTTGTCCCACAGGCCTGAGGATAGGTGGTGACCCTGCCCTTAGTCCCTGCTGTATCCCCAGCACAGTGCTGGGCACTGGGATGGAGCACAATTTTGCATATATTTATTTTCTATTTTGCCTTTATGCCACATATGCTGACACCAGGCCCTATTCTTGACACTGGGGATATGGTAACAGCCTGGCAGATAAAAACTGCTGTCCTTGTGTAGCTGGCATTGTGGAGGGAGAGATGAACAATGAATAAGCAAAGAAGTGTGATCTTTAGCAGTTAGAAGGTGATAGGTGCTAAGGAGGAAAATGGAACAGGAAAGAGGATGGAGGGTGGTAGGGCTGGCTATTGCAATTTTGAATAGGGCAGCCAGGGATGGCCTCATGAAGAAGGTGGTACTTGGGCAAATACCTGAAGGACTTGGAGTTAACCCTGTGGATGCATAAGTGAAGAGCCTTCCAGGCAAAGGGAACCACAAGTGCAAAGACATGCTTTTTACCAGGAGAGAGGTGCAGCCCAGGGAAGATTCTAAATCAGGAGGGCCCTGACCTGACTCAGGTGTTCAGGCTCCCTGGACTGTGGATGGAGGCAGTTTGGGAGGATGGAAGAGAAGGGAAGCCAAGGAGTGCCGGGGTCCAGCCTCGGCAGGATCCAGGGGGTACCCTCAGGATGAAAGGCGTCGGCGAGAGAGAGAAGACACGTGAGACCAGCCTTGATAGGGCCAAGTCTGCAAGGGAGAGGGAGGGAGGGGGAGAGAGAGAGAGAGGGAGAATGACCAGACGGGGGTGTTTGCAGGGTCTGGCAGAGTCTGGCAATGCTTTATTTTTTACCGTGGCTTTTATACCCTAAATTAGTACATTTCTAAGGGGAAGATAGTTTAACATTACATCAGCTTGTTCTTCATGAAACCAGGGTGTTTTCTGCATACTTCTTTGTTTATGAGGGTCTTGTACATTATCTTCTGACCTTGGGGCCTATTAACATTTTATGCAAGTCAGGTGAATGTAAACCTATTTTCCATTTCTATGGTGATCTTAACTGAAAGGTAGCAGTCTCATAGGGCAACAGTACAGAGTAGAAGTATAACCTTGTTAATACAAAAATTAATCCTTCTGCAGAAGTTGTCAGTTGCATTTATCTAAGAAGTTTACCCCACACTGACTCTGCGACTTTGGTGAGGCAGCTTCTGCCTTGCACTCCTGGCTGACAATTAACAATCATTTCATTGTTACTACACTAGGGCTAAGTTCTTATTTCTCTAGATCTTTAACTATATTAACAATGGTTTCTATAACACAACCTTAGCACATTAAAAGCAAAAACACAGCAAGCAAAACACAGCAAGCAAACGTCAACCCAATAACCACCTTTAGAATAATTTTTCTTGTGTTTTCTAATAGGACTTCCTCACCCCCCGAAGGGCTCTGTATCTATTAGGGCCTTTATATGAACAGGTTCTTTATGTTATTTTATGATTAGGGTATTATAAGCAATCATGCATATTAGTACCAAGGGCATAAATGCATTTGCCAAACAAACTAAAATACCAGCAAAGGAGTTTAAATTAAAACATTCCTTTCACCCTGGATAATCTCATAAAATACCACCACCTGGGAAATTTATTGATTAAAGTTCTAAATTGATTCTTATTTGAAAAGAGATCGGGGAAGGCCTTCTGCCTGTGTCACAGAAATTAGGGAGTAGTCTATTGAGGCAGGGGTCAGAAAGACAGATATCATCTTTAAGGTGAGCGCCGGGGGCAGCTTTTCGAAATCCCTGAAAACCTGATCTGCCTTGCCTGTCAGGCTTTCTCCTCGTGACCTTGTCATGGGTGGGATCTCGTGAGCTGGCCTTTTCGAAACCCCTGAAAACCTGATCCCCCTTGCCTATTAGATTTTCTCCCTCATGACCTTGTCATGGGGATCTCGTGTGCCGGCTCCCAGCAAAGGAGGAAGTTGCTATGGGGTTGGCAGGTGAGGACGGTAAAGTGGGGAGATGTGGTCAAATTCTAGAAGATCTGCCCTGGTCCCTGCTGTGACCACCTTGTCCAGAACAGTGCCTGGCACATAGTAAGGGCTCAGTGATATTTGTTGATGATGAAGAATCAAATGATGACAGGTTGAAGCCCATGAGGGCTCTCTTCTCTGATTCTGCCCCTTTCCCCATTTCCCAATCTGCAGGGGACTTGGGACAGTATCTGGAGAGCCTATCTGAATAACCTGGTACTCAAAGGGTGTGTGCTAGGCTATCCTTGCTCATTACCCCAGGCCCTGCCTTACCCCTCTTCCCTCTACTTCCTCTGCAGCAACCCCAGCATCTGCCCCCATCCCTACTCCTGCCCCGGCCTCCTCTCAGGCACCCCTGCGGCCAGAGGATGACATTCTGTACCAGTGGCGGCAGCGGCGGAAACTTGAACAAGCTCGAAGAAGCCAGGGTGACGGAACCTGGGTGCTGCCGCAGACCCCTGCCCTCACCACCTCGGTGAGATGGAGGAGAGAGGAGCCTGAGGGGGGTGGGGGGTGGGGTGGAGGGAGGATCCTAAGGGAAGTTGGAGGAAGGGGGAGGCTGACGGAGACTGAGGACTCTCTACCATTTCTCTCCCTCTCAGGTCCCTTCCCCCATCTGTCCACAGCCACCTCCTCCCGCTGCGGAGACCCTTGGTTCCCTGGGAACCCAGTCTAACTCCATCCCACTTTGGGGCAGTGTGGTTCCGCCTGGTCTCCAGGAAGCTTTCCGCATGGAGAGGCCTCCTATTCCCCCAGGGTTCTCTCCACACATCTTTTGGGGTCCCAGTCCCCATGGATTCTTCTGGGCCCCACAGCCCAGTCCCTGGATATCTCTTGGGGTCATCCCTCCAACACTCCCGGCCTCCACCCCAGCGCCCCCGGCCTCCACCCCAGCACCCCCGGCCTCCACTCCTGCCCCTCCAGCCTCAGCCCCTGCGCCCCGTGCCTCCACACCCACGACCCCTGCAGCCCCCCAGGGGCCCCCCATCCCTGCACCAAGCAGCCCAGAGGAGCTCGAGAAGCAGACCTCCAAGCCTCGGAGAAGGAGAGCCCAACGCCGGGAGTCTTCAGGGCGAGTCATGGCCGCGGATGAGCACGAGGGCCCTGGCCCTCAGCTCAGAGGCGCGCTGGGACAGGTGGTGACGGCTCGGCTGTTTCCGGACAGCCTGGAGGACACGCCCCCCCGGCTTGAGGGCCCGCCTCCACACGAGGCTGAACCTCGGAAAGCCAAGGCCACACACGCTCTGACCCCTCGCTCAGAGGTCACGGCTCATGTATCTGAATCTCCGGGTCGGTCTAAGGCGGGGTCTCGGAATGCCAAGACCCTGCGCCCCCTAGCGGGATCGGTGCTTAGGAAGGACAAAGACACTCCCTTGGCTGAAGTCAAGTGTCTGCAGCCCAAGATCCTGCCTCCTCCAGCTGAGGTGGTGGCCACTTGTGTTAAGGCCCCGCCCCCTCCGTTCGAGGCGGGGTCTCTTGAGGTGGTAGCCACGCCCTCACCCTCTGCTGGCCACGCCCCCTCAGAAGACCTACTCTCCCAAGCTGCCAGACTTCTGCAGGCTGCGGAAGGTGAGAAGGTGTGCACGCCGCGCGTGGCTGCCGTGTTCTGAATGGCAGTCCATTACGCTATGAGTCCGGTCCCTTGAATCTTGCTCCTTTCCCGCTTAGACTCCGATGGCAGCGAGTTCCAGGACGACCCTATACTGCAGGTGCTAAGGATTCAAAGGACGGCGCTGCGCCGGCAGAAAAGGTGACCATCTCCAGGATTTAACACAGCCGGCCCCTGAATTCTGAGACTGCCATGTGGTGCTCACCTCTCCTGAACCCCTTTCCCAGAACATACTAATATCCCAGACCCTAATCCTGAGCAAATACCTCAACCTCTACCCCACTGTCCTTTTTCCAGGAAAGTAGATGCCCAAATAGCCTGCCTGCTGGGCCACCCTGAAGACCCAGAGTCTTGGTCTCCTCCAGCCAGGTCGCCCCCCCAGATCCCCAAGGCTGCAGCTGAGGAGGGAAGGAGCCTCTTTTGAGGCCAGATGACTTTGAATTGTACAGACTCTATTTTTCTTAATAAAAATTTTTTTTTCAGATTACAGGTTGTCTCCGAAAAAGAAGTTATTTGAAAAGGCCAAGGGTCTTGCTCATTTAGGGAAATAGCTCCCTGTGCCCCCCTCCCCTCCCCCACACTAGCTCTGCCCTGCACTGCTTAACTCTTGTTTCTGACCACTGAAGCCAAGTCTCTTTTGGTTTCATCTTTGAGGGCAGGAGAGGAGTTCTGGGCAAGACTGGGGCTCACTTTATCTGACTTTCAACTCAGGAGTGGGTCCTCCTGTCTCAGATGAGACCAAAGGAACTGTTCTCTGGGTGTGAAGCTTGTAATCATTAGAGTGTTAGACAATGGTCAGGCCTCCACATCCTGCTTGACCCAGCAGCAGCATTAAGTGTGCTGATCCCCATTCACTCTTTGAAGCACTTCCTTGCCTAGCTTCCAGAACCCCAGTCTTCTCCTCACCAATCTGGTTGTGCCTCATTGTGCCTCACACCTGTCACTTTGGTGTCCCAGGCCTTGACTTTTCTATCTACAATCAGTCTAGCTTCATGGTTCCAAACCTCATCTCTGTTCTGATAGACAACTTTGAACTGTACAAAGTCGTACAAATTGTAAAACCCAAGTACTACAACCAATTTCTATCTTCAGCCTAGAACCTTAGGTTCCTGTATCCCATGACTTGCTCATCATCCACACAGAAAGTTCTAAGAAATATCTCAAACTCCATAGGTCTTAATCCTTGCCCTAAACCTGCTCCTCCCTGGCTCTCAGCTCCATCCTTCCACCTGCTCAAGTCAGAAGCCTCATAGCTGTCATTGATTCTCCTCACAATCAGTTGACCAGCAAGTCATATCATCTCTACCTTTAAAATCTCTCCAGGGACTTCCCTGGTTGTACAGTGGATAGGAATCCACCTGCAGATGCAGCGGACTTGGGTTCGATCCCTGGTTGGCGAAGATTCAACAGGCAGCAGAGTGACTAAGCCTTTGTGCCACAACTACTGAGCCTGCCTGCTGCAACTACTGCAGCCTGTGCGCTTAGAGCCCATGCTTTGCAACAAGAGAAGTCACCGCAATAAGAAGCCCGAGTACTAGAGAAAGCCAGAGTGCAGCAAAGTAGACCCAGTGCAACCAAAACAATTAAATAAATAAAAGCTGTGATGAGAAACCATAAGAGTCACCACCACTTACTAAAAAAAAAAAGTCTCTCCAGAATTTAACCCCTCCCTTGACCATGGTCTAGACTATCATCATCTCTCTGGACTATTGGAAAGCCTATTGTTTTGTCTGCAAATTCTTTGGCACATTTCCTATCAAAAAAAATAGAGTCCATGTTCCTTATTGACACTGGGTAGAACTTTGTGACTGCCTCCACAAATAGAATGCAAAGGAAGCAATTTTACTTTAACTTTCTGAATTAGATTAGAAAACATGATATAATTTCCACCTGTTTTTTTTAAATAATTAAAAGATGATTTATTTACTTATTTATGGCTGTGCTGGGTCTTCATTGCTGAGCAGGCGTTCCTCTACTTGTGTAGAGTAGGGGCCACTCTCTAGTTGCGGTGTGCAGTCTTCTCATTGTGGTGGCTTGTCTTGTTGCTGAGCGCAATCTCTAGGGCACAGGGGCTTCTGTAGTTGCAGCACGAGGGCTCAGTAGTTGTGGTTCCCCGGCTCTAGAACACAGGCTCAATAGTTTTGGTACGCAGGTTCAGTTACTGCACGGTATGTGAGATTTTCCTGGACCAGGGACCAAACCCATGTCTCCTGCATTGACAGGTGGATTATTTACCACTGAGCCACCAGAGAAGCCCTCCACCTTGTTTTCTCCTAAACTTTCCCCCTACTTCCTTTGGGAGTCCTGGGATGCTGTATAAATATGTTCAGCTGCCATCCTGGGTAAGGATTTGGATTATGAAAGTATATGCACTTGGTAGGGGCTTCCCAGGTGGTGCTAGTGATGAAGAACTCACCTGCCAATGCAGGAGACATAAGAAACGCCAGTTCGATCCCCGGGTTGGGATGATACCCTGGAGGAGGGCATGGCAACCCACTCCAGTATTCTTGCCTGGAGAATCTCAAGGACAAAGGAGCCTGGCGAGCTACTGTCCATGGGATTGCAAAGAGTCGAACACGATTGAAGCGACTTAGCACAAATGCACACATGTACTTGTTAAAATTCAGTGAAATTGTGAATTACATTGGGTATATATTACCTGAAAAGAAAAATAAATATTGAACTCTAGTGAGAGATATGCATGCTGAAGTATTTATGGGACAGTATACAGTGTCTTTATTATGAAATGTAATCCAAAGTTAAATTAACATGAATAGAGTAATAGATGTGAGATAAAACAAATATAGTAAAATGTTAGTGGTAGGATCTGGGGTGGTTATTATGGGTGTAAAATTGTTCAGCTTTGCTGTATGTTAGACAGTTTTTATAATAAGGTGTTAAATATGCAATCAGGATTATGTTGATATTTGTATTTACAAAAAAGAGAATAGGATAGATTTCTGTAAAAAGTAGCTTTTGTATGTTATAGACATGGTATTTGTTTTCAGTCTTTATGAACAAGCCATACATTTAAATAAAATAAAAAGAAGGAAATGGCTGTTTAGATATCAGTTCAGTTCAGTTCAGTTGCTCAGTCGTGTCCAGCTCTTTGCAACCCCATGCACCGCAGCACACCAGGCCCCCCTGTCCATCACCAACTCCCGGAATCCACCCAGACCCATGTCCATTGTGTCAGTGATGCCATCCAACCATCTCATACTCTTTCGTCCCCTTCTCCTCCTGCCCTCAATCTTTCCCAGCATCAGGGTCTTTTCAAATGAGTCAACTCTCCACATCAGGTGGCCAAAGTATTGGAGTTTCAGCTTTAACATCAGTCCCTCCAATGAACACCCAGGACTGATCTCCTTCAGGATGGACTGGTTGGATCTGCTTGCAGTCCAAGGGACTCTCAAGAGTCATCTTCAACACCACAGTTCAAAAGTATCAATTCTTTGGCGCTCAGCTTTCTTTATAGTCCAACTCTCACATCCATACATGACTACTGGAAAAACCATAGCCTTGACTAGATGGACTTTTATTGGCAAAGTAATGTCTCTGCTTTTTAATATGCTGTCTAGGTTGGTCACAACTTTCCTTCCAAGGAGCAAAAGTCTTTTAATTTCATGGCTACAATCACCATCCGCAGTGATTTTGGAACCCAGGAAAATAAAAGTCTGACACTGTTTCCACTGTTTCCCCATCTATTTGCCATGAAGTGATAGAACCAGATGCCATGATCTTAGTTTTCTGAAGGCTGAGCTTTAAGCCAACTTTTTCACTCTCCTTTTTCACTTTCATCAAGAGGCTCTTTAGTTCTTCACTTTCTGCCGTAAGGGTGGTGTCATCTGCATATCTGAGGTTATTGATATTTCTCCCGGCAATCTTGATTCCAGCTTCTGCTTCCTCCAGCCTAGTGTTTCTCATGATGTACTCTGCATATATGTTAAATAAGCAGGGTGACAATATACAGCCTTGACGTACTCCTTTTCCTATTTGGAACCAGTCTGTTGTTCCATGTCCAGTTCTAACTGTTGCTTCCTGATCTGTATACAGGTTTCTCAAGAGTCAGGTCAGGTGGTCTGGTATTCCCATCTCTTTCAGAATTTTCCAGTTTATTGTGACCCACACAGTCAAAGGCTTTGGCATAGTCAATACAGCAGAAATAGATGTTTTTCTGGAATTCTCGCTTTTTCAATGATCCAGGGGATGTTGGCAATTTGATCTCTGGTTCCTCTGCCTTTTCTAAAACCAGCTTGAACATCTGGAAGTTCACGTATTGCTGAAGCCTGGCTTGGAGAATTTTGAGCATTACTTTAGGTATAAGTAGAAAGAAAAAGATGTTTATAGCAGCAGAATGATTTAGCTGGTGTGTGGGGGGGTGAGTGGGGCCTAGAACTATTCCTGAGGAGTTGAGATAGGTAGGAATTAATAATTAACAAAGGGCCATCCTAACGACTATTTCTAGGTTACAAGCTTCCTCCAAAACTTGGTGGCACAAAACAATGATTCTATTATGCTCATAGATTCTATGAGTCAAAAATTTGGACAGGGCAGAGCTGGAGACAGATCGTTTCTGCTCCATGATGTCTAGAGGTTCAGCTGGGAAGACAAAGGTGGCTTGACAGCTGGGAATGGAACCTCTGGAGCTTCTTCACTCCTAATTTCGGCATCAGGACTCAGACAACTCCAAGCTGGACTGTAGTGTCTATACAAGGTCTCTCCATGTGGCTTTTTTGTGGTTTGTTTGTGTTCATGTGCTCAGTTGTGTTCCGACTCTTTGCGACCCCATGGACTGTAGCCTGCCAGACTCCTCTGTCCATGAGATTTCCCATGCAAGAGTATTGGAGTGGGTTGTTGTTTCCTACTCCAGGGGATCTTCCCAACTCAGGGATCAAACCCATGTCTCCTGTGGCTCTTGCATTGCAGGCAGATTCTTCACTTGCGGAGTCTGTGGCTTAGGCTTCCTCAAAGCATGAACTGTCTTAGCAGAATTGCGCTTCTACACGGTGCATCAAGGCTCCAGAGCTAGCCATTCCAGCAGACAAAGAGGAAACAGCATTACCTTTTACTACCTAGCCTTGAAAGTCATATAGTGTCAATTCCTATTCATTCCTATTCTCTGTTGGTTGAAGTTGTCACAGTCTTGCCCAGATTCAAGAGGGAGGGAAGGCAGACTCTACTTTCTCAGGAGAGGAGTGTGAAAGAATTTGCAGTTGTGTTTCAATGAGGGGGAGGGGGCGCAAAGAATATTCCAGGCAGAGGGTACTTCATGTGGGAAATCCCTGTCGTGGAAGTGAGTTCAAGAAGTTCAATAAATTGAAGTAAGTAGCTGTAAATTGACTCCTCCTTCACACTCCCTTTCCCCAATCTCTGCTTAATTTTTATCCATATTTTAAAATATTTATTTTGCAAACTCTTTTCCCACTAGCTTTTGAGCTCCATGTGGGCAGGGTATATTTCCCCCATTTTGGTTACTGATAGATCCACAAATTAAGTGATCAGGGTTTTTGAATGAACGAATGGGTGGATCAAGCATGTACCTTCGAGGACCTTGTTGAGGGCATGACCAATGGCAAGTTCTCTTGGAAAGGGTATTGTTACAGAGTGTTTTCTGAGCTTCAGTCAACAACAGGAACAATTAGAATTGAGTTTGTGCGAGGCATCTGAGCCAGTGAAAAACATCCATGGGCCAATGTTCTTAGTATTCCAAGAGCAGGGGTAGGGGCTGAGTCGGGACTTGACAAAGTGGGGATCGGGACTTTGAAGAGCTGCTTAGGGAGTGGAGAAAAGCTTGCGTTCATGAGAGAAGCCAGTTAAGAGTGTCAGAAGAGCCATCACTGACAGTGGACTAAGGGAAGGGTCCACTGCTTGGTGTTAGAAATGTTAGAAGCAAAGCATAAAGAACCCGGGGGTGTGTCTCAGGAGGGGAATGACGGCCAATGAAACGCAGGCATGGGCGTGGCGCTGTCAAACTTCGCAGGGCGGGACCGAAGAGATCTAGCCAGAAAGAGGACCCAAGCTGAAGCCAATGATTAGCCGCCAGGTGGGCGGGGCGTCGTCCTAAGGCCAAGGGTGGAGCCAATGAGAATCTGCGCCGCGTCCCTCATTGCCCCCGCCCCCGTGGAGCGCGCGCGCCAGAGCCACGGGCAGCCGTTAGAGGCGGGGCCTGCAGCCGCCCGCGCGCGGCTCGCGCCCTCCCCTTTGTGTCGCCATGGCGGCGGCATCGGCGACGAGGACGACGAGCGAGGGGTCCAGCGCGGCTGGCGCCTGAGGAGGCTACGCGGCTATGGTGGTGAGGCGCCCACGCGGCCGTCCGTCCTGCGGCGAAGTCAGTCTGTCCGCGCGCGGCCACGCCCCACGCGCCCCGCCCCTGGCCCCGCCCGAGTCCGCGGCCCGCACCGCCCCTCACCCCTCATCGCGGTCCCTCTCGTACCCCGACCTGGTCTTGGGCTCGAGCCCTTACCCCGGCCCCGCCCCCTAAGCGCGCATCTCTGTTCCACGCCCTGTAGGGGGGGTGACAGTGGCTGAAGACCCAGTCTTGGGAGGAAAAAGGGCTGGTCCAGGGAAGGACCCCGCATCCTCTAAGTGGCCCCCACGGGGGCCTTCTGAGGGTCTCCGAGTCTTCCACCAGCACCTGTCCCACAGCCATCCTCAGCATCGTCATTCCATCCTCCTCTCTCTGGCCTAGACCCCTCCTCCTCCTACCATCAGCCCCTTTCTCATTCTTGAGCCCCACCCCCACCCGGCTCCATCCTCAGCCTGACCCTTTTCTTCTCCTTTCTCATCCCATCCCAGTCCTTCTCAACCACCCCTCCCTTACCCCCTCCCCGCATCAGCTTGAACCTTTAGTTCAGCCTCTCCGACTGCTCCCCTCCTCCTTACTCCACCTCAATCCCCAGCGTGCATTGTACCCCCCGATGTGATCATGGGTCCTCTCCATCTTCTTGTCCTCTCTCGCCCTCCCCCACCGTCTCCCTCTCCTACCATGCTGCTCCTGCTCATTCATCCATTCATCCCCTCATTCCCTCACTTAGCATTCACTGAGACCTCCGCGTAGCCCCTTTGCTCCAGGCACGGAGAAAGTCAGAACCCATCCTGCCTTGGGGAACCTCATGGGCTGGAGGGGGACCGATTCAAGGGTGAGACCCAAAGGATGAAGTCGGGGTTGTAGGAGAATGAAGGAGGGAGAGGCTAGGACCCATTCTGGGAAATCCTCATCTGGCAGATGGTTAATTTATTCATCAGATTTTACCCAGCCCCTGCTGGGTGACTGAGCTGGCACTGGGCATTGGGACCCAGAGAGGAATCAGGTGCAACCCTACTTGTGAGGAGCTTCAATTCTCTGCCCAGCTCTGTGCAGGGCAATGCTGGGGGAGTAGGGACTGAGCCTCAGTCCCGTGGGGGAGATGGACTTGTCACCAGATGGGGACATCTCAGAGTGCACAGGGCTGTAATGAGGGAAGTTAAGGCAACATCATCAAGCCTGGGATGGGGGAAACTACCATGAGAGTCAGATCTGAATGCTAAGTGAAAGCATGGAGAAAAGATGGGGATGAGTGTTCCATGCAGCGGCAACAGCCTTTGCAAAGGCCTGGAAGGCAATGAGAAGATGATTCTTTTGTTGGACTCTTAGAAGTCTGAGAGCTCTGAGGTAGAGGCAGTGGGAAAAAATGAGGCTGGAGAGGTAAGCAGAGACCAGAGAATTTAGACTTTATCTTAAAGGCAACAAGGAGCCATTGAAGATCCCTGACCTGGGGAGAGACAGAGGCAGATTGGTGTTTTGTGAAAGTGATACTGACTCTTGCTGTGAAGAAGCGGGCAGAAAGGGAGAGGTGGAAGCAGGGAGACTGATGAGATGGGAGCTGTGATTGTCCAGACATTGATGAAAGGCATGGAAAGGCACAACCCCTTCTCTCCTGGGGCTACAGGAGGCTTTTAAACAGGGAGAGAGAGTACCAGCATGCTCTTGCCCTGAGGCACCTATGGCCCCTGCTCTTCCAGTCCCCCAGTCCAGACCACACATGAAGAAGCAGACCTACCCTGAGCCCAGCCTTCACCTCCCCCTGACCTACCCCTCTACCCCATGCTCAGGACAGTGTGTGGAGCAATTCGGGCCTGCAGGCCCAGGCTGCCAGATAACAATGCTCCCGTTGTCTCTCTGCTCCCATCTCTGGGAGCCTCTGATTCTTCTTTCTGCTCTACAGGCTCGTAGCACTGACAGCCTGGATGGTCCAGGGGAGGGCTCGGTGCAGCCCCTGCCGCCCGCTGGGGGACCCAGTGTGAAGGGGAAGCCTGGGAAGAGGTGAGAGGTCAGGGAGAACCTCAACCTAGGAGGGGAGCCAAGCATAGGGCTGCTAGTGATCTGTCCTCTGTCCCCCAGGCTCTCGGCTCCTCGAGGTCCCTTTCCCCGGCTGGCAGACTGTGCCCATTTCCACTACGAGAACGTTGACTTCGGCCACATTCAGGTATGGGGGTTGCACCCAGGTGGGTAGGCGGGATCCCACCCTACCCTGAAGCAGCATCAGCCACTTTACCCCTGAAACGTCCCCCCGGGCTGCTCGGTGGCAGGAGCTGCAGGGCAGAGGGGAGACTTGTTCCTTCATTCATTCAACAATGACTTTTTGTTAGATGTGAACTTTGTGCCAGGACCTTGGACTCTGACTGAGCCATCACCAGGCCTTGACTGTGGGGAGACCCAGGAGACCCACCCCTTGATAGTGCCCATCTGGAGAGGTCAGGACAGGGACAAAAGTGAGACCCTCACCTGGGCCTTTTGTTTCCCTCTGCAGCTCCTGTTGTCTCCAGAGCGTGAAAGTCCGAGCGTCTCTGGAGAGAATGAACTGGTGTTCGGGGTGCAGGTGACCTGTCAGGTGTGGCCAGCCCCCCCACCTCTTCTCTGGCCCGGTGAACTGACTGCCGTGGTCCTCAGCTCAGTATAATGAAGCCACTGTATCCCCCTGTCCTTCCCACTCCCGCAGGGCCGTTCCTGGCCAGTTCTCCGCAGTTATGATGACTTCCGTTCCTTGGATGCCCACCTCCACCGATGCATATTTGACCGGAGGTTTTCCTGCCTCCCAGAGCTTCCTCCACCCCCAGAGGGCGCCAGGGCTGCCCAGGTAAACTACTTGTCCCAGCCCCTGCTTCAGCCAAGGTGTGTCCTCACCAGTGATGGGTGAAACCATCAAGGCAGGAGAGATAGATAAATATTAAACACTGTTATGTTCTGAGTTCCAACCAGTTGGGGGCCTCAGAACTGCAGCAGGGTGACTCCCTTTAGTTTTTAGGATCATGGGGAGTTTCAAGGGGCTCCAGGGGAGGAGGGTCAGAATGGCCAGACTGCTAGGCGCACACAGGGCATTGACCCAGCCTATTTATCAACTGATATGACAGTATTTCAGTACTTCACAGCAGAGCAGCACCCATGTGTTCACGTTGAATTTCAGCCCTGCCAGAGGCAAGCCAGGGCAGTACAGGAGGGCGGTGGGCTCTCTTGGGTGGGGTCTTCTCACAAACCCCACTCTGACAACCTGCCCCAGATGCTGGTGCCGCTGCTGCTGCAGTACCTGGAAACCCTGTCAGGGCTGGTGGACAGTAACCTCAACTGTGGGCCGGTGCTTACCTGGATGGAGGTGGGCCCGGGCAGGTGGCTTGGAGTTGGGAGTGAGGGAGGGATGTCTGAGGAACAAGAAGCAGCCTGGGAGGGTGTGTGGGCACAGGAAAGAAAAGAACCGGAGTGGAGGAGGCACTGGTATTTCAGTATCTGTGTGGGCGGTTGCCTGTGAGAGAGAACACAAGTGGGTGCGTGCATGTGTGTGTGTGCAGGTGTTGGGCTGTGGTAATGTGAGAATTTCAAGGTATATTGGTATGCTAGCTAGAAATAGGTTTGGCTGTAGCTCTCAGAACGCCAGGCTAAGAGTGCAGGTTTTCGGATAGCAGATATGCAATGTTTGCTGTGGAGGATGTGGGTGCAGGAGTGAATCAGGATAGTTTTGGGCAGGGGCATCCTGGGACACGGAAGAGAATTTGCTTTGGAAGGGGCAAGAGTGTAGGTGTTTTACCAATAGCTCTGAGTGACAGGGGCACTCAGGTGGGGGGCAGGGGGTGGCCTCCAGTGGCGGAACCTTCTCGGTCTTTACTGTTGCCTTCTTCTGGCCTCTCCCTGCCACATCCCCCTCCATCTCAGCTGGACAACCATGGCCGGCGACTGCTCCTCAGTGAGGAGGCCTCACTCAATATCCCTGCAGTGGCCGCTGCCCATGTGGTAAAGCGGTACACGGCCCAGGCACCTGACGAGCTGTCCTTCGAGGTAAGGCTGTGGGGGAGCAGAGTGTAGCTGGGCTCCCCACTTTATCCGTGCCTTCTGACCCTGCCTCCTCATGCCCACCCACACCCAGGTAGGAGACATTGTTTCCGTGATTGACATGCCACCCACGGAGGATCGGAGCTGGTGGCGGGGCAAGCGGGGCTTCCAGGTGAGCCTGGCTCGAGCTGGACAGGTGGGGCTGGGGCACTGCGCCAGCTCAGGTGGCCCCGTCACTGACCCCAAACCCTCCTCAGGTCGGTTTCTTCCCCAGCGAGTGTGTGGAACTATTCACGGAGCGGCCGGGTCCAGGACTAAAGGGGGGTGAGTGTCCTGGGCAGAGTGGGGAGGCCCTCCTGCATCCTTTCCCTGCCCTCCATCCTTTCCACCATTGTTCACCCTGCAGATGCCGATGGTCCCTCATGTGGTGTCCTGGCTCCCCAGGGTGTTTCCTCTCTGACCTCAGGTAATGCGAACATTACCCGTTTGTAATTCTAGGGGCCAGACCCTGCCCCGTCTCCCCATGCGACCCTGTGTGACCTGCCTTTATCTCCACAGCAGTGCCCCGGCCGCGGGGGAAGCTGGCTGGCCTCCTCCGCACCTTCATGCGCTCCCGCCCTTCCCGGCAGCGTCTGCGGCAGCGGGGCATTCTGCGGCAGAGGGTGTTTGGCTGTGACCTGGGAGAACACCTCAGCAACTCAGGCCAGGACGGTGAGGCCCGGTCCACCTCCCCTGCCCTTCCTCCCCACCAGGCTGTGACCCATCCAGCCCCGAACCCCCGCTTTCTCCCAGTGCCCCAGGTGCTGCGCTGCTGCTCTGAGTTTATTGAGGCCCACGGGGTGGTGGATGGAATCTATCGGCTCTCGGGTGTGTCATCCAACATCCAGAGGCTACGGTGAGGACCCTCCACCAAACCCTTCCCTCCACACACATTTCTTTAGTGTCATCTCTAATCCAGTCCCCTTGCCATGTGTTGGGGACACAGAGTTAATGGGAGTTAGGAGGACAAAGGCAGGGTTGGATCAATGGTGGGGGGCACAGGGAGGGCTTCCTTGAGGTGGCACCTCAGCTGGGGTCTGAAAGGTGAGAGTAGGACAAGCATTCACCTTCATGAGCACCTCCCACATGCTGAGCATTAAGCTCTAGGGACACCATGGTGAATGAGACAGCCGGAGACTCCTGCCCTCATGGGGTCCACGTGCTGGAGGGAGAGGCAGACAGGAAAGGAGAGAGTTGACAATAGGTGACAGGCGGCCTGGAGAAAAAGAAGATGAGGTAAGGGAGATCATAATAAGAAATCAAGGTGGGTGGAGAAGGCCTCCTGGGAGAGAGCTCACCGTGGAGGAGGTGGGGGAGCGAGCACTGTGGTTGTCCACCTTGAAGGGAACAGCCAGCAAGAGGGGAAAGTGGCAGGAGATGATGTCTGAGAAGTGATTACGGGCGAGTAGGCTCATGGGGCCTTTTTGATGGCTGTTAGGCTCTTGGCTTTTACTGGGAGTAAAGCAGGAACCACAGGAAGGATTGTGGGCCGAAGAGGGGCAGCAGGCGGAACAGGCTAAGAAGTGGGAAGCACTGAGGCCCGGGCTTCCAGGCGAGAGCATAGAACCTGAGGCCGAGGTCCCATGTATAGAGCTTTTTCACCTGAGAGGGTGAGACACCGCCAGGTGGTGAGCAGAGGCCACTGGGATTTCAGCTGCATTTTCCAGTGCCTCTTGGAGCCAGGAAAATGGCACAACTTTGTGGATGGAGCCCAGTCACACTCTGGAGGCAGATAGACTTGGGTAGCTACAAGCAGGGTGTCTCCCACCAGAGCCTCAGTGTCCTCCTGTGTAAATGGGGCACCCTTTGGCATGCAGTGTTGTTGGGGGGAAGGGGGCTCAGTAAGGTACTGCCTCTGAAGACCCAGCACAGGAAGAGGGTTGCATCTGCCTGTGAACACTTTGGGTGTGGGGACAGGACCCGGCCCAGTGGGCCATCTCTGACCTGCATCTTCTTCTCGACGTGGTGGCCTCAGGCATGAGTTCGACAGTGAGAGGATCCCTGAACTGTCTGGCCCCGCCTTCCTACAGGACATCCACAGCGTGTCCTCCCTCTGCAAGCTCTACTTCCGAGAGCTGCCCAACCCCTTGCTCACTTACCAGCTCTACGGGAAGTTCAGTGTGAGTGAGGGTGACTGTGAGGTAGAAGGGGCTGGGAGGCGGCAGCCCAGCCCCCTCACACTGTGCTCTGTCTCAGGAGGCCATGTCGGTGCCAGGGGAGGAGGAACGCCTGGTGAGGGTTCACGATGTCATCCAGCAGTTGCCCCCACCGCACTACCGGTAAACCAGGAGGGGCAGGGAAGGATGGTGGTGGACTCGCAAGGGAGGTGAGGCTCAGGCGTCCCTCTCCACTCCACCCCCAGGACCCTGGAGTACCTGCTGAGGCACTTGGCCCGCATGGCGAGACACAGTGCCAACACCAGCATGCACGCCCGCAACCTGGCCATCGTTTGGGCACCTAACCTGCTACGGTAAGCTGGCAGCTCACCAGCCTGCTCCCCCAGCTCCCTACCAACCCCCAGGCTGGACCTGGAGTCTCTCCGCCACACACCCCCCACCGTCACCCCAGGAAACATCCAACTTTGGCTCTTTTGATCATTTCACCCAACACATTATTTCTTCTCTTGTAATTTATTTATGGTTGTGGGGGTCTTCGTTGCTGCGTTGGGGGTTTTCTCTAGTTGCAGTGAGCAGGAGCTACTTCTTGCAGTGCACAGGCTTCTCATCATGGTGGTGTCTCTTGTTGCAGAACACAGGCTCTAGGCTCATGGGCTTCAGTAGTTGCAGCACGTGGGCTCCAGGGCACCCAGGATTCAGTAGTTGGCGGCACAGGGTCTCATGAGCTGTGGCTCACCAGCCCTAGAGCGCATGGAGTCAGTAGTTGTGGTACACAGGCTTTAGTTGCCCCAAGTCATGTGGGATCCTCCTGGACCAGGGATTGAACCCACGTCCCCTGCATTGGCAGGCAGACTCCTATCCACTACCACCAGGGAAGTCCCTCAACACATATTTCTTAAGTGTTGAGTGCCCGTATGCCAGCCCCTGTTCTCAGCACTGGGGACACAGTGGTGATCAGGAACCTATGCTTTGAGCTCACAATCTCATGCGGGAGATGTCAGTGGACATTACCCCCCCCCCCCAAAAAAAAAGAGCACCATGTGACAGTGATGAGGGCTGAGGAGAAAGATTACAAAGTAGGGAAGGGAGATCTGGTCACTCATGGCATTTGAAATTTTTAGATAGAGTGGCAGGGAAGGCTTCAGGAAGAAGTCCTCCTTGGCCAGCAGCAGGGTAAGCCTGAAAGGATTTGATGGTGACCAGACAGGCAAGTTCTCTGTCCTGGAGTAGTTCAGTTCTTCTTGGGAATCAGATAAATAAATAAAATAGCTAGTATGTGGTAGATACAAGAACTATGAGCAAAAATAGACAGACCTGGGATATATAGGTTTACAATTTTAAATAAAATAGGTGGGGAAGACTGTTGAGAAGGCAACATTTGAATTAAAAGCTGCAGAAGGTAAGAGAAGGACCTGTGTAGCTGAGAAGGAGCAAACCAAGCAGAGGGAATAGCAAGTGCAAAGGTCCTGGGGCTGGGTCAGGTTTTGGAGGCCAGTGTCACTGGAGCTGAGTGAGAGAGTGCAGGGTTGAGGGGGAGGAGATGGTAAGGTCAGAGAGGCGATGAGGGAACAGACAGGGGAGTGGCTTACAAGTTGTGGGTCATGGTGAGGATATGGCTTTTACCAGGAATGACATGCAGCCAGAGGAGGGCTCTGAGCCGGGAGGGCCCTGATATGTGACTTAGGGGTTCACAGGCTCCCTCTGGCTGAGTGTGGGGAGCAGACCATAGGGGTTTGAGGGGGAGCAGGGAGAATAGGGAGGAGGCTGTGTGTTGGTCCAGGAGGGAGAGGATGGAGGCGGGGCCAGAGTAGGGGCATAGGGAGTTGAGTTCAGATTCTGCATAGAGTTTGTGGATGGAGCAGTCCACAGGGTCTCCTGCAATTGGATGTGGGTGTTAGGGAAAGAGGGGTCAAGGGCAATACCAAGGTATTGACTAAGATGGGATAGGTAGGGAGGGAGCAGGTTCTGGGGAAAGGCTGAGAATCTAGTTATAGATGTGATCAGTTTGATAAGGTCAGAGACATTGAATGACAGTCACTGCTTCCACGGTGCCCCAACCCCCCCTGGCCAGAGCCCACCAGCTGGGGCTCCAGGCACCTCCCACCCTCCTCCTCCTCCCATCCAGGTCCATGGAGCTGGAGTCAGTGGGGCTGGGGGGGGCAGCAGCCTTCCGGGAGGTGCGGGTACAGTCGGTGGTGGTGGAATTCCTGCTCACCCACGTGGATGTCCTGTTCAGCGACACCTTCACATCTGCTGGCCTTGACCCTGCAGGTATGCCCATCCTATCCCATGTACTGACTACCACCCCCCCATCATCAGGGCTGCAGTGGGAGGGCAGGTGGGCTCCCAGCCCCATCCCTATCCCACTGAAGCTGGACCTCCCTTCTGGTTCCTTGAGGACCCCGCCCCGGCCTCTCCCTCCCCTTCCCCCCCCTTCTCATTTCAGCTCCTACGCTCAGGATCCCCACTTCTTGGCCCGGACATCGTTCTTCCTTCACCCCTTGTAGCTCCTGGGGGCACTTGGGGCCATGGGTCCACCTGGGAGGAGGTGGGAGGTCCCCAGACTTGACCCTGCCCTGGCCCCACCCAGACTCCCTGCCCTGCCCCGGACCCCAGCCCAGTCAGGACTCAGCACGTCGGAGGGCCCCCTGGCCCGAGGTAACTGAAGCCAGAGCCGCTGTCCTCGCTGGCTGCTGGGAGCTGCCTCCTCATCAGCTCGTTCTGCCTCACTCCTCCTCCTCACCTGCCTGCTGCCCACCCATTCCCGCCTGATCCGTCCTGGCCCCCTGCCTTGCCAGCCCGGGTGGGCACGCTGCGGGGCCGGGGCTTGGGCTGTAGCGCTTGGCTTTGCCTGTGGCCTTCAGCAGCCCCAGGGCTGACGGCTGCCCCCTCTCCCGACTCCCCAGGCCGCTGCCTCCTCCCCAGGCCCAAGTCCCTTGCGGGCAGCGGCCCCTCCACTCGCCTGCTAACACTAGAGGAAGCCCAGGCTCGGACCCAGGGTCGGCTGGGGATACCCACCGAGCCCACAACTTCCAAGGCCCCAACTTCACCTGTGGAAAGGTGAGTAGGATGCCCAGAAGGGAGGGACTGGCCGGGGAACCCAGCTCCTCAGCTGGCCTCCTATGTCTTGACCCAAACTCCAGGAGGAAAGGGGAGAGAGGCGAGAAACAGCGGAAACCTGGGGGTAGCAGCTGGAAGACCTTCTTTGCACTGGGTCGGGGCCCCAGCATCCCCCGAAAGAAGCCTCTGCCCTGGCTAGGGGGCACCCGGGCCCGACAGCAGCCTTCAGGTCAGAAGCCGGCAGTGGGTGTGGTGGCTGGAGAGGCACCCTGGAGTGCGCCCATGACCCTTCATCCTCTCCTTGCAGGCTGCCGACCTGACACCGTCACACTGAGGTCTGCCAAGAGTGAGGAGTCTCTGTCATCGCAGGCCAGTGGGGCTGGTGAGCACGGGGTGACCCCTGCCTGTGCCCAGGTGGATCTGGGAGGGACTGGGGCTCTGAGCTGGCCTCCACGTGGTGTTCTTAGATTTGGGGGTCCTGGAATTTTTTGTTATAATCTGGACCTTACATACAGTAAGTTTGATAAAGCTTCACTCTTGGTTCACCATGCACTGTGGTCATTGGCCCATGCAGGGTCCTTCTAGTCTTTTGTTCATCCCTTTTGGAAAAAACTAAATAGTATCATGAACACCCATGAACCCACTGGCCAGAACTAAAGGCCTCCCACCACAGTACCTGCGAACTCCTCCCCCTCCCACCTGCTGCCTCCCCATATCAGGCATCCTCTGATAGTCTTCATCCCTTTGCTTTTACAGTTTTGTCACATACAGGTGTAGGGATCAACAACATACCACTAGTTGTTTTGAAACTTTGATTAAAGAGTATCATTAAAGAGGGGTATCGTGCTGTGTGTACTAACTCATCACTACATCACAGGTTGCCGTCCGCACAGCTGGTGTAGCTCAGGTTCCTTCCTCTCCATCACTGTCCATTGTCGAGTGTGGGTATTCCTCAGGGGAGGGGGTACTTGTCCATGCCCCCCTGATGGATCTGGGGGCTCTGACAAGCGCGCCCAAGAGTGGAGGCGCACACTGTACAATACGCCCACATCCAGCTGTACAAGACGAGGCCCAAGTAGTTCCCAGATGTGGTCTCCCCAGGCTGTCCTCCCAGCCACCGGGTTTGAGAGCCTGTTGGTCTCGAGCTTGTAGCCAGTGGGGTTGTCAGACTTTGTTCTTGCCGCTGGAACAATGTAATTCTCTTCATGGACTTGCCATGATGTCCTCTATCACCCGTGAGTCTGCACCGCTCTCCCTGGATCCCCAGCCATCGTGACCCTAGGCAGGGATGTGTCTGTGTGTTATTTCCCCGACTTACTTGGGGGGTGTGTCCTGTTCTCACTGATGTTATCTGGGTAGGTAGTTCTGACCCCTGACCCCTAACTCCCCCTCCCCCCCGCACCGCCCTTCCAGGTCTCCAGCGGCTGCACAGGCTACGGCGACCCCACTCCAGCAGTGATGCCTTCCCTGTGGGCCCCGCACCTGCTGGCTCCTGCGAGAGCCTGTCGTCATCCGAGTCCACCGAGTCCTCCTCTGAGTCGTCCTCCTCTTCTTCCTCCGAGTCCTCCACAGCTGGGCTGGGAGCACTCTCTGGCTCCCCTTCACACCGAACCTCGGCCTGGCTAGACGACGGTGACGAGCTGGACTTTAGCCCACCCCGCTGCCTGGAGGGGCTCCGGGGGCTTGACTTTGATCCCCTTACCTTTCGCTGCAGCAGCCCCACCCCCGGGGACCCGGCACCTCCCGCCAGCCCGGCCCCCCCAGCCCCTGCCTCTTCCTTTCCACCCAGGGCGACCCCCCAGGCCCTCTCGCCCCGAGGCCCCACCAGCCCTGCCTCACCTGCTGCCCTGGACATCTCGGAGCCCCTGTCTGTGTCGGTGCCACCCGCTGTCCTGGAGCTGCTGGGGGCTGGAGGAACACCTGCCTCAGCCACCCCAACACCAGCCCTCAGCTCCAGCCCGGGCCTGCGCCCCCACCTCATCCCTTTGCTGCTGCGTGGAGCTGAGGCCCAGCTGAGTGACACCTGCCAACAAGAGATCTGCAGCAAGTTGGCATTGCCTGGTCCCCGGGGAGCCCAAGGCCAGCATGGTGTGTCCTGTCCAGCCCAGCCCAGCCCAGCCCCTCACAATCCCGAGGCTGTGCCCAAGACCTGGCTGACTCCTCTTCCCGTTCCTCTCCTAGGTGCTGGTATGGATTCACCGCTGCTGCCCCCACCCCTGTCCCTCCTGCGCCCCGGGGGGGCCCCACCCCCGCCTCCCAAAAATCCAGCACGCCTCATGGCCCTGGCCCTGGCTGAGCGGGCTCAGCAGGTGGCCCAGAGACAGAGCCAGCAGGAGCAGGGGAGCACCCCATCTGCTCCTCAGTCCCCTTTCCGCCGTTCCCTGTCCCTGGAGGTGGGCGGTGAGCCCCCAGGGACCTCAGGGAGTGGGCCACCCCCCCACCCCCTAGCCCACCCAGGCAGCTGGGTTCCAGGACCCCAGCCCTCCTTACCAAGGCAACAAAGTGATGGGAGCCTGGTGAGGAGCCAGCGGCCCACAGGGACCTCCAGGAGGGCACCCCGAGGCCCTGCCCAGGTCAGTTGCCAGGTCAGGATGGGTGGGGGGCGCAGGGCTGTGCCAGAGATGGCAGCCCAGCTCCTGTGTTCTGTCCCCCAGCAGGTTCCCACCCCTGGCTTCTTCTCAGCCCCCCGGGAGTGCCTGCCACCCTTCCTCGGGGTCCCCAAACCAGGCTTGTACCCCCTCGGCTCCCCATCCTTCCAGCCCAGCTCCCCAGCCCCAGTCTGGAGGAGCCCCCTGGTTCCTCCTGGACCACTGGACAGAGGAGAGAACCTGTACTATGAGATCGAGGCGGGTGAGGGGTCCCCCTACTCTGGCCCCACTCGGTCCTGGAGTCCCTTGCGCTCCATGCCCCCAGACAGGCTCAATGCCTCCTACGGCATGCTTGGCCAATCCCCACCACTCCACAGGTCCCCCGACTTCCTGCTCAGTTACCCACCACCCCCCTCCTGTTTTCCCCATGACCACCTTGGCTACTCAGCCCCCCAGCACTCGGCCCGGCGCCCCACCCGACCTGAACCCCTCTATGTCAACCTAGCCCTCGGGCCCAGGGGCCCCTCACCCGCTTCTTCCAGCTCCTCCTCCCCTCCTGCCCACCCCCGCAGTCGCTCTGATCCTGGCCCCCCAGCCCCCCGCCTCCCCCAAAAGCAGCGGGCCCCCTGGGGCCACCACACCCCTCACAGGGTGCCTGGGCCCTGGGGCCCTCCAGACCCTCTCCCCTACAGGGCAGCCCCACCAGCCTATGGGAGGGGGGGTGAGCACCACCGAGGGTCCCTGTACAGAAGTGGGGGGCAAGGGAGGGAGGGGGCTGGTCCCCCACCCCCCTACCCTACTCCCAGCTGGTCCTTCCACCCTGAGAGCCAGACCCGAAGCTACTGCTGAGCCAGAGCTGGGGGGGACCTTCCTTTCTCTTCCCCTCTCACTGATCTTGGTCCAACCCAGTCCCTTGTTTTGTATTTTCCTGAGCTTCTACCCCAGGTTTCTAACTTTGTAACTTGCCTTTGATGTGGGTCCCTAACCCGTTATCATAGCCTACCTACCCTGGGCTGACGGGCATACCCGTCCCCCCATCCTGGGGGGCCTCTCGCACAAATCTGAGAGGGTTAGGCTGACTCCTTACCCTCCCTTCCCCTCCAGGGGTCCTCAGCATGTCCTGTCCTGTGCACAGGGGGTGGGGGACTGTTCCTGCTATCTCCCCACACACTCCCTACTAAAACCATCTGACAAAATTAATGAATAAAAATGGTGAAAATGTGGCTGCTGGTGTCATGCTGGGGCCAGGCTCAATGAATAGAGAGGCAGTGACAGGTGGGTTGCTTTCTCATTTTATCATTTCAGCAGGGGCTAAGTGGGGAGTCACTCCTGGGAGGTTCCCAGGGGCGACATCTGCAGATGAGGGGCCATGGGTGCCCTAACAATGTGTGTCAGGAGTGGGATTGAGCCTGGGCCCGTCTTCAAGTTGGCATCCACCTTGCAGCTCTGCTATGATCTCCTCCAGCAGATCCATCCTGGGAGAGGGTGGGGTAGGGGTGGGCTGAGGTTGACCTCGGGGAGGAGGAAGGGGCCCGGGGCCTTCCCACCAGCACCCCACTTCTCACTTCTGCAGGCTGGAGAAGCGACTTCCTCTGATCAGCTCAGGGCTGGGTACCTGCAGGAGTAAAGACTAGAGCTGCCACCGGTGGCCGCGGAGCTCAGGAGGGCCCTGGGAGGGCGGGCTGGGGCAGGGCCTGGGCTCAGGGCCCTCTGCTTCACCTGCCCTCGTGGCCTTCCCTGCCAGCAGCCTCCAGGGCGTGGGAAGCCTCCCTGTGGGTCAGCAGGCAAGGGCTGGGCTCACGGGGCTGGGGGTCCAGCAGGGCAGCCCTGTGTGTGTGCCGCCGCAGCCCCCGCAGGGCTTGGATCTTGGCTGAGAACTTCCTCTCAAACCGCTCCTCAGAGCTCTGAGTCCCCAGCAGGGAGGCTGAGTCCTGAAGGCTGGCATGCAGGGCGGGGCCCTGGGGGAAGCAGGGTTGGTCGGGGGAGGGGGGTCACTGGTCAGCGAGGGGAATAGTGGGGGTCCCAGGGGGTCCCTGGTCAGAGGAGAGGCACCCAAGGAAATTGGGGTTGGTGACAACTGGGGGGAAGGGTCACGGGTGAGCAAATGGACGATGGCGCAGGACTCGGGGTATCCATACTGTTGATCTGGGCTCCAGGCTGCGGTCCAGGCTGACCCTGGCTGTGGGGCTGTGCCCTGGGCAGAGGCCAGGGCGGGGACTTGGGCTGCTGCCTAGAGTCAAGCTGCTGCCCGAGTCCCAGGTGGCACCCTTCTGGACTGTGCTGTGGCCCATGACCTGCAGAGAGTGATGGCAGAGGGCTGGCGTGGGTGGCCCACAGCTCCCTCGGTCCTCCACGTGCCTGTCCTGGCTCCTGCCTAGGAGGGGAGGGCCCTGGGAACATCACAGCGGGGCACAGGCGCGGGAGCAGTCTTGGCTCTGGGAGCCACCTCACATACAGTGTCTCTGGGCTTGTAGGCCAGCTAGTTGGAAACGGGGTGGGGGCACAGCTGAGCTTTGCTCAGCACCTGCTCCCATCCCCTGTGCCCTCTGACCTGGTGGAGAACCCTGGGGTGGAGGGCACTGTGTGGTCCAATCCCTTGGGGGGCTCACCTCAGAGGCGGAGTCCTGTGGAGAGGAGTCTGGGTGTGGGACACAGGCCCTGCCCGAGATTCCATGGCGACCACCCTCCCCGGCCCGCCTGTCCTGTACCTGGGCCACGGCCTCCCGCAGCAGGTATCGTGTACTCTGCAGGCTGCCACAGCGGTCAGCAGGCCCTAGGCCCAGCCCAGCCCGAACCAGGGCCTGGTAGGGGGCTGGCACCAGGGGGTCCAGGGCTGGGCTCTCACCCGCCTCCAGTTTAGCCTTCACCTCAGGCCCTTTCCTTCCAGCCCAGGGCAGCTCTCCTGTGAGGAAGCATGATTGGGGGACCCAACCGAGGTGGGGGGGCCTCAGTGGGGCTGGGAGCAGGGTTACTCACTGACCCGTGAAGACCTCCTGGGCCAGGATGCAGAAGCTGTAGAGGTCTGAGGTGGCCGCAGGCATGTCACCGCGGATGAGCTCCAGCGGCAGCCATGGGTACAGTTCAGGAGGCGGGGGCAGCCCTGGGCCTGGGCCTCCCCAGGGGTAGCCCTGCCGTGGCCTGTGGAGGCCAAGGGACCCGGTGAGTCAGCGGCTGCCGGACGGGGCCACCGGGGCAGGACAGGGAGGCAGGCACTCACCTGGGCTGCAGCCAGCATTGGTGCAGCGGGCGCCCATGCTCCAGGCCGCCCACCTTGGCCAGGCCTGGCCGCACCAGCTGCACAGCATGGGAGCTGAGGCCGCCGTGAGCACGCCAGCGGGCCTGCAGGAACAGCAGGGCCTCCAGCACCTGCAGCAGCAGGTGGCCCGGCAGCAGGCCTGGCACGAGGTGGGGGGGGCCCCCTTCTCGTGGGCCCCGGGGGTGTAGCACCACATGCAGGGAGCCCAGCCACACGGGTTCGAAGAGAAGGCACAGCCCCGACAGGTCCTCCGAGGGGCACAGTGCCATCAGCAGCAGCAGGCTGGGGTGGTGCAGGGCGCTGGGCAGAAGGAGAGCAGGCTGCTCGTGAGGAGGCCCCAGCCTGCCCGGCCAGGAGCTGACCATCTGCCTCAGCCACCAGACAGAGGAGAAACGGTGACCCTGGGTCACAGAGCCTGGCAGTGGTGGGGCCAGCACCACTGTCCATGCTACCCTCCCACCACCCACTCCTCTCCGAGGCCTACAGAACTAGGTGCCCACTTTCCCGTGGTGAGGTGGGTCACTCCAGTAGGAGGGCTCCATGTCAAGTGCTGGCCCAGAGGTGAAGGCTGTAACCACGGCCACCACCACATTCCCTGGTCATCTATTTCCATTCAAGTCGGGCAGGGCGGGCAGAAGACGGCGGGCCTGGGGGGCTGGCTGGAGGGACCCACCTGCAGTGTTGAAGGTCAGCCAACAGCACATCAGCCTGGGCTTCTGGCACCTTCAGCTGCCGCACGGTCACGGGGTGGCCCCTCCACAGGAGGCTGGAGGAAGGCGGAGGGGAGAAAGCGCGGGTCTGAGACAAGGGGTTTCCCGGTGAGGGGGGCAGGAGGGCCGGACTCTCCCCAGCTCTGCTGGACACCAGGCAGGGTGTGGGAGAGGCTCTCACTTGGCCATGAGGGTGTGGGAGCTGCTCCTGTAGGTGCGGTCGGGCTCGCCCTGCGCTGGTAGCAGCTCCTTCGGGTCCGCGAGGGGTACGCCTGTTACCAGCCCCAGTGGCCACAGGCTGCTCAGCTGGGGGTGGGGAGTGGGACTGTGAGGCAGGAAGAGGACAGACGCCGTGGTCACCACTCCCTCCCACATCTCCCGCTTACCTGGCCAAACCCTAAGGCAGGGACATGGGAGGGTCTCCTGGTCCGCTCCGGTCTCCATGCCCTGAGGTAAAGGGCCATCTGAGAGTAAGTCCAGAGAAGCCAGGTGTGGTGGGTGGGCAGGCCTCAGGATGTGCACCGTTACCTGTCCACCTGCACCAGCCGCAGACCACCACACAGGCTGTGTCCAGAGCTGGCCTGCCACTGGCCCAGGGAGGCAGCGGGCGCCAACTCACTGCCGTGCACCAGGGCTGACATGTGGGCCCGGCACAGCTGTAACAGTTCCAGCATCTGGACGGGGCGGGGAGCATGCGGGGTGAGGCGGGGTGGGGGGCCTGGCCCTGAGGCCCTCAGCCCACCCTGGCCACAGCTCACCTCCCAGCTCTGCTTGGCACCACCTTGTTCTGCCCAGTCCCGCGGGCTGCGCCCCTGCTGGTCACGCAGACGCAGGTCACCGCCTGCCTGCAGCAGGTGTAGGAGCACCAGGCTACAGCCCGAGAAGGCACCCGCGTGCATGGGTGTGCTGCCATCCAGGCAGCGGCTGCAGCGGAACAGGGAGGACAGGAATGGATTAGGAAATGAACAGGGACAGGTGGTGGCAGGAGGGGAGCATGGAGGGATACGGGGCCACTATGCTCGAGGGAGGAGGACATCAGGATGGGGGCTCACTTGGGGACATAGTGGAGTCCTTGAGAGGGTGAGAAGATGGCGATGAGCATGGAGGCACCGGGAAGATGGGAATAGTTTCTGGAGGACAAGAAGAGGTTAACTGAGAGAACAAGATGGATCACTGGGGATAGGAGGGGATCTGAGAGACATTGGGGCTCTGGGGAAGATAGCCCTGGCTCTCAGGCTCTCTGGGGCTCAGACTCAGGGCACTGGGAGTTTGGGGGCATCACCACGTGTCCACTTACTGGTTGGGGTTGGCACCAGAGGCTAGCAGGAGCTGCACGGCCGAGCTGTGGCCCAGCAGCGCCGAGAGGAAGAGCGCCGTCTGTCCAGCCGAGTTCTCACCGTCTACCTGGACAACTGAGCGGGAGCGAGGCTTAGGACTATTCCCGCCCCTTACTCCAGGGGCAGACGTCCTGGCAACACCTTTCCCAATTCCCAGCCCCCATAATCCCTCCTGACTGGGTGACCCTTGATTTCATCTCTATGCCCTGGAACCGCCACCTTCCAGCTGCTGGGGACTCTGCCTCAGAATCCATCTCAACACACTCCTCGCCAGTAAGTCCACAGAACTGGAACAACGTGACGTCTACCTGCCCTGCCAACATCTACGTCCCCATCCCAGAGTTGTCAAAAAATCACACAAAAGGGGGTTTCCCTGGTGGCTCAGTAAAGAATCCACCTACCAGTGCAGGAGACACAGGTTCAATCCCTGGTCTGGGAAGATCCCACAGGCCGTGGAGCAACTAAGCCCATGCACCACAACTACTGATCCTGTGCTCTAGAACCTGGGAGCCTCAACTACTGAGCCCCACGGCCTAGAGTCCGTGCTCCACAATAACAGAAGCCACCGCAATGAGAAGCCCGTGGAGCACAACTAGAGAAAAAGCCAGCACATCAGTGAAGACCCCAGTGCAGCCACAAATAAATAAATTTTTTAAATCGCACAAAGGTACCCAGGGCAAGAGGGTAAGGCTCATTTTTATGAGGCAAAATATGACTTAACTCCAAAACCAGATGAGAGTTTCCAGAACCAGAAATGAAGTCATACATCAATTCAAATTATGATCATATATGCAAAGCCCCTAAATAAAGTAAAAGGGGTAACCCAATTTATTCCCAGAAGGCAAGGATGAATCAACAAAAGAATATCTATCAATGTAAAAAAACACATTCACAAATTAAAGAATAAAAATCACATTTAACTGTATCAGTAGATGCAGAAAAAGCACTTAGTAAAATTCAATACCAAAAAACAAAAAAAAATTCAATGCCTACTTATGATTAGGGAAAAGATCTCTACCTCAGAAAACTAAGAATAGATGGAAAGTTTCTTACTTGATAAAAATTACAAACCAAAACCCAAGAGCAAGCAAAGTACCTAATGCAGAAACATACGACTCTTCTCTTTAATATCAAGAATAAAAGAGATGTCCATTGATAACAAGGTTTAGGAGTTCTGGCCAACACCTTATGACAGAAAAAAAGAGATTGTGGTTTAAAGACTGAATAGCTGAGACCAAACTGTCACTGTTTGCAGATTAACAATGAAGTAAAAGAATCAACACACAAAACTATTAAGCAAGTTCAGAAAGTGGCTGGATACACAATCAACTTACAAAAATCAGTGAACAACAGAAACTGTAAGTTTGATCGTGTTAATTTCCTGCCTACAACTCCAGGGGTTTCCAATTACACACACACAAAAATCCAACAAAATTCACACTACTCTTAAGGCCTGTTCCTGTCTGTAGTTGCTGTCTCCCTGAGTCCTTTTGCTCCCTGCTACTACTTACATATCCCCAGTTTTTGGGTCTGTGGGGGTTTTTTTGCTTTTAAAATTTATTTTTAATTGGAGAATAATTGCTTTACAATACCGTGTACCCAGTTTGTTTTGATTTTGGGCCTTTGCACTGGCTATTCCCTCTGAAGTGCTTCTTCCCCAGCTGTTTCCATGACTGGCTCTTAGGCTGTGGGACCCAAGTATCAACCCATTTGAAAGCCCATCCTTCCAGGGTGTCTCCCTCATTCTCATCACTCTCTTAAATCCTCATTATAGATTTAATTCACAACGATCTGGAGGGTCATTTTCACCCCTAAGTCACCATCACAGACAACAGCACCTTGGCACATGACAGGTGCCTGATACACAACTGTTAACTGGTCAACTGAAGTTGCATCCTCCTTTCTGCTCCTTGATCTCGTTCCCCCAGGCAGTTTCAGCAGCCAAACTCACCTCTCCGCAGGAGTCGGGTGAGGCCCCAGGTTGCGCCCCCAGCCACAGCCAGGCGATGCAGACGGCCCACCTGGCTTTCTGGATCCGGAACACAGCCCAGCTCCACAGGGAATCGAGAACGCAGTGAGGGCATCTGTGGACTCCGTCAGCTCCTGGCCAGGGATCAGTGAGCAGGTCTCATGAGGGCAGGAGGACGTGGAGGACTAGATCTCTGGGGGCAATAAAGACAGAGCTGGCTGTGAGTCTTGGGGGGGGCAGTCTGAGAAAGAAAGGCGATTTGGGAGGGGTGTGATTTGGAGAGAGGCGTCTGAATGAGAAGTAGGGTGGCACCTGGGAGAGCTTCAGATCAGAAGGTCAGGGGTCCAAGGCAGTCTAGGAGTGAAAAGAAGCTAAGGAAATCTGCTCTCTGTGGCAGAGGGGTAGTAAGGACTATGAGGATAGGAGTCAGGGGCTTGGGAAGAGAGTCTGAAGACTACATAGGGGCGGAAGAGGGCTCTGAGGGTTAGGACCTGAGAGGGAGGTGCAGTCTACAGGCTGTGAGACAGGAGTGTCCAAGGAAGGACAGCCTGAGGGCAGGGTCTGCAGGCTGGGAAAGGGCCTTGAGGAGGGGTAGGGGGCGGTGGCTGGGGTCTGTGGGCTGGGAAAGGGTCTGAGGGCTGGGGGCATGGACTGAGCTGTAGGGAAGTGTTTGTGTACTTGGATGGGGTCTATGGATTAGAAAGGACAGAAGAAAGGAGTCTGAAGACTATCTGTGGGCTGGGAGAAAGGTGTGCAGAACTGAGACGGAGGCTGAGAAAGGGGTGGGGTCTGCGGGCACAGGAGGGGTGGGAAGGGAGAATGGGGGCGAGGATCTGTGGGCTGGGGGAGGGGCCTGGTGGCCGGCTGGGGACCCAGTCCCCGCACCTACCGTTGGGCTCGGACACTCATCACCACGTGACTGCCACGTGACCCCACGCTGACGTTCCGGAGGTCTAGGCGGCAATTCCAGGCGCATGCGCATCAGTGATCGCCAGCCATCTTTGCACTTGCGCAGTAGCCTCCTGCCCCTGAGAGCTACTATTATGGCCCTGAGGTGACCCGGTAGAAGAGACTGCAATGTCCACCGCAGAGCTGTGGCTGCTCCCTGTTACCGTCTTGTTGTTTGGAATGCCCAGCCTTTCACCATCCCTGTCCTCGGCTGTCTTCCTATGCTTCTCATCCCAACCCCACGGGCAGTTTCCTGTTCGTCTCTGCCCCAGTTTCTCTCCTTTGCCCCACATGTGGGCTCCTCAGTGTGCTGAACACCTCTCCCAGGACGTCCCCTGGGACCTTCACACCTACCTGGTCCCACACTAGCTTCAGTATCTCCTCCAAACTGCACTTCCTGCCAGATCCCCATCTTAAGAGTTGGTCCCACTGTCCCCTCTCACCCAGAGCCCTGGGTCTCACCCTGAATGTCTCCCTCAGATCCAGCCTATCAGCTCCATGGCCCTTCCACTCAGTCTCCTGGTGGTTATTTTCACTAGTCCACCCATCATGTGACAGCCAGGAAACTCTTAACTACAGTCCTACCTGACTCTGCCCCTTCCCTACTTCAAACCTTCTTGACCCCCTAGTGGCCTTGGACAGAGTTGAAGCCCTGCAGTGTGGCATCTAAGACTGCATCATCTGCCCCCTCATCCTTGTCTCCCCACTTCTCAGTCTGTTTGTGCACATGCCCTTGTCTTTGAACGCTCTTCTCAATATTTACTTAGTTATTCTTATGAATTCTCTGGGAAGCCCTCTTGATTACCAGCTGTCTCCTCTGGCCTCCTTCAGCCTCTGGACTTTCCGCAAGGTTGCCCAGACACTCCCCCGAGTTCCCCCATTACACCCCTGATCACCCTGGGCTGTCACTGTCTGAAGGTGGGTCTATCTACCCCTACTGGACTAAAAACCCAGTGAGGCCAGGCCTGGGGTTGTGTTGGTCTCTGTTGTGTCCCCAGCGTTGTTTACCTCAGAGCCTAGCTCAGAAGGAGCCTCAGTAAATGCTTATGAAGTGAGACAGTGGTTTGCTCTTCTCTCTGTCCCTCCCTGGATGTGGGCCTTAGCCTAGCCTCTAGATTTCAGTGTTTCAGTGTCTGCTTTTCATCTGTGCTGTTTACCTGGGTGTCCACAGGAGTGAAGAAAATTCCCATGTCAGCCACTGACTGGTTGAGCAGAGCTGACCCCAGGCCCTTTGCAGGAGAGACTGCCCCAGGGTTGTGGGGGGACCTCCTTAGACTTTGATCAATGCCCTCGCTGTGCTCTAGGGTCATGTAAAGATCCTCTTGAGCCACAGAGCCCCCGAACTTGGGCTGGTTGAGGTCAAGATGAGCCCTTCCCCAAAGAGGTGGCTTCAGTGCAAGGCAGCTGCCTGGGCAACAGCTCAAGAACTTTATTGACCCCGTGACTCCTGGGGGTGCTAATGGGGGGATACCCTCAGGCCCCGCCCCAGCAGCCTCCGCCGAAGTTCTTGGCTGAGCAGCTTCTGTTCCCTGCGGGCACCCCGTAGTACACTTCGGTTCTCCTGGGCCCTCCGGATCAGGTAAGGGATCACCTCCTCCAGGGAGCCATAGGGGATGGACTTGTACACAGCATAGCCAGCCTGCCCTGGAGGGAGAGTATTGGCAGGGTGTGGGCTCAAGTTTGGTGAGAGGCTCCCCTAGGCTCCATCTGGAACAGAGACTTCCATTTCTGAGAGCATGACAGATTAGGTGAGTTGGACAAAATCTCCTGCTGAAAAAACTAAAACTCCTGGAGTAAACATTAAAATAAAAAATTCTCGATGTATAGAACAAACTTTTGGACTCTATGGGAGAAGGCGAGGGTGGGATGATCTGAGAGAACAGCATCGAAACATGTATATTATCAAGTGTGAAACAGATCGCCACTCCAGGTTGGATGCATGAGAGAAGTGCTCGGGGCTGGTGCACTGGGATGACCCAGAGGGATGGGATGGGGAGGGAGGTGGGAGAGGGGCTTAGGATGGGGAACACATGTAAATCCATGGCTGATTCATGTCAATGTAGGGCAGAAACCACTATAATATTGTAAAGTAATTAGCCTTCAACTAATAAAAATAATTGGGAAAAAAATAAAATAAAATAAAAAATTCTCAAAGTTATAAAAATGCTGAAAAGAGAATAAAGTGAAAGTGTGTCCGAGCAGGACACAACCTGCTCGGTCGTGTCCAACTCTTTGCAACCCCATGGACTATACAGTCCATGGAATTCTCCAGGCCAGAATACTGGAGTAGGTAGCCTTTCCCTTCTCCAGGGGATCTTCTCAACCCAGGGATCGAACCCAGGTCTCTCAAATTGCAGGTGGATTCTTTACTAGCTGAGCCACAAGGGAAGCCCAAGAATACTGGAGTGAGTAGCATATCCCTTCTCCAGGGGAATCTTCTTGACCCAGGAATCCAACCGTGGTCTCCTGCATTGTGGGTGAATTCTTTACCAACTGAGCTATTAGGGAAGCAAAGAGAATAAGGAATTTACTAATTCAAGAATTAAGAGAAAATGAGGGGCTTCTTTTGTGGCTAAGTGGTAGAGAATCTGCCTGCCAATGCAGGAGACAGGGGTTCAATCCCTGGTCCAGGAAGATCCCACATGCCACTGGACAACTAAGCCCACGTGCCACAAATACTGACCCTACATGCCGCAACTACTGAAGCCCCCATGCCTAGGGCCCATGCTTTGCAATAGGAGAAACTGCAATGAGAAGCCCGTGCACTGCAACTAGAGAGTAACCCCCTGCTCACCACAGCTAGAGAAAAGACCACGGAGCAATGAAGACTTAGCACAGCCAAAAATAAGTTTAAAAATAAACAAAAGAGAGAGAGAGAGAGAACCCAGAGCAGAAGGATTACACAAGAAGCGTTTCTTTCCTGAGGGCAAAACTGAGTTTCTGTCTAATGACTTCAAAGTTAAGGGGGTACAGAAATGGAGGCCTAAAGCATGACCAGGATTAAGAGTTACAAAGGAGAGCTTCCCCAGATTAAGTGTGAACCTCAAAATCTAGACCCTCAGAGTAAGAGTTAACAATAAGCCAACTCTCCCATAAGGAAAGTTGGCCTTGACCATAAACAGAGCAAGGAAGAAAACAGAAATCCATCTCTGAGAGGTTGTGGCCATGGGTTGTGTGTCTGTGCACTCATTCACTTCAGTCATTGTCAGACTTTGCCTACAGGCTATGGACTGTTAGCTCACAAGGCTCCCCTGTTCATGAGATTCTCCAGGCAAGAATACTGGAGTGAGTTGCCATACCCTCCTCCAGGGGATCTTCCTGACCCAGGGATCCAACCTGCGTCTCCTGCATCTCCTGCATTGCAGGCAGATTCTTTACTGCCGAGCCACGGGGGAAGCCCGTTACCATGGGTTAGTCTCCTAAAATATTTGCAGCCCCAGTGTGGATCCTTGGGATATCTCTAGAAACCTCAAGCTGTGAAGTTAGGGTACAGTGATTTTGTACCCCTTAGCTCCTGGCAGAAGAAAACATAAATCGTCTGGTCTCAGTCCCTGGGGAACAATACAGTAAAGATAACAAAGCAGACGGGAAACAAGATACCAAGATCGAGAACCAAGATACCAAGATCAAGACAGAAACAACAGAACACAGATGCAGAGACACAGGCCCGTGAGGCCTTCAGATATGGGACAGACCTCTCTGGAAGGGCCTGCCACTGGGCTGGCTGCAGGCTGTTAATGGGAGCCTGGCCAGGCATCGTCTGGGAATGGGAGAAGGGATCTGTTTGGGAGGGAATGAAGCTGGGGCAGGTTAGGTGGGAGGTGGGAGTAGGGGCTGGGAGGGACTGATCACTTACATACCTAGTGCCAAGGAGACATGGTCACACATCCCCAGAAGTTGTCCAAAGCAGACTGGCCCATCTGGAGGAATGCCCAGCTCCCACATGCTACAAAAAAGGTCACATCATCAATCCAGACAGTGGCTGGATCCAGAGCTGAAAGTTAGCCACAGCACACTCATATGGCTCTTCTAGTTATTCAAATATTGAAGTATTTCCAAACTCACTGATAAATAACCATGGCCCTGGGACCCCTGAAAGCTCCCCAGTTAGTCTCAGCTCCTTTCCTGAAATGTTTGGACTTCCCTATTCCCCAGCAAATAAGGGGC